CTGGGTAGAGTTCGTTGACCTTTTGCAGGCTGTATTTTTCAGTGCTGGGAGCCAGGCTTTGTTGAGTTTTAGACTTTCTTCTTTTTTGTTGAAGCTCTGCTGGTGTTTATGGATTTCAATGGCTTCCCTGTGCAGTCTAACATAATGATTGCTGGTGTTGTCCATACTTCAGTATTGACTAACACTATCCATCCATCTCCTCCTCTGTCGTCCCCTTCTCCTCTTGCCTTCACACTTTCCCAACATCAGGGTCTTTTCCAGGGAGTCTTCTCTTCTCAGGAGATGGCCAAAATATCGGAGCCTCCGCTTTAGGATCTGCCCTTCCAGTGAGCACTCAGGGTTGATTTCATTTAGAATCTCTGCTGGTGTTGCTGGATTTCAATAGTTACTTTTTTTTAAAAAAAAGGAACAGGAGCGGATGTTCCAGCTGCCATCCAAAGGATAGCAGAATTGCCCCCCACACCCCACAAATGGCATAAGGAGTCTTCATGAGTGAATTCTTTTTAAAAAATTTAGCATGGGGGGGGAGGCAAGGTTGGTGGTTGCTGCATTTGTCTGCCAGCTGGCTACATGCAGCCTATGAGCCGTATGTTGCCAATCCGCTTCACGTATTTCAACACCTAATGGAGCAACTGAGATGTTTTTCAAGATTCCGTATCTTCCCTAAGGAACACACTGGCCTTTCCTGTGCCAGAGCAGGGAAAGCTCCAATTTCCCTCTGGGTCCTAATGCTACCCTTTTATTGTCTGACCTAATAGTTATAAATTCATGCTGGCTGGAGGGCAGATCCTCAGGTCCCTGACAATGGCACAGCATATAACATATCCAAATGTTGCATCTGGCTTCTTGCGCTTGCAGTGAAACATGGCATGGTGAGCCGCAAGTGCGGGCTGGACGGGCACTGGGTGCTGCTGAATGGGACGGAGGCCTGGAGGGACCATTCCCAGTGCAAGGAAGAAATGAGAACGTTTGTGGAACAGGTAAGCAAAAGGGAGGCTGATGGGATTTGTTGGCCCCTTATGAAAATAGCAATAGACTTGGAAAAATTACCTTCTCTCGGACTGGAAACCCCAGAATCCTTAAACCAGTGTGAGCAACAGGGTTTGGGATCTCTGATTCAGTCAAGTTTGCTTGTTCGTTTTCCCCAAACTCTGAGCTGGAGATGTTCACCTATTATGGGCTGTATGTGTGGTTAGGAAGTCAAGAGGTAGGTGCTAAAGAGAGAATAAAATGCATGCTATTGAAGTCTCCAATATGTGGATTCCTCAGACCTACTTTAATAAGGCAGAGGCAGCCCCTGAAAATTCTGCGGTACTCCCGATGGCTAGTAGTCTACTGAAGGAACATCTGGGGCTTCCAGATGTTCTTGGACCACAAATCTCAGAAGCCTTCACCCCCACCTCTGCTGGCCAGGATTTCTGGGAGTTGAAGTCCAAGAACATCTGGGGACCTCAGTTGGAGAACCACTGGTCTATTGGATCCAAGCTGCCCAAATAACAATTAACATTTCAGCCATTAAGTACAACATCATCCTCTTCTGTACGAATCAAGATTTGATGGAAAAAAGAGACGCTGAATGCTTCCTGTTCCCCCATTTCCCCCCTGCAAAAAAAATGCTCCATGCAGCCTATGAAAGAGAATGAAGAGGGTCAGAAATTTGGCCCCTGCAGTTCTTGATCCGTTTGGTAAAACAGGTGGTTTGCAGTTAAATTTCCGTGGAGGCCCACATGGAGTTCGTGGTCCGCAGGTTGCCGACCCCCCGTTTGAAATGGGAAATTATTGCCAAGTACAAACACTCGTAAAAATAATCACTTGGAAAATGCTTGTAATGATAATAATTTCCTTGATGAGGGTCTCCTTCTGTCCTGTACAGGATGGGGTGCATCGGCTGCTGCTCAGCTTTCGAATCCTCTACACTGTGGGCTATTCCCTCTCGCTGCTGTCGCTGGTCTTGGCATTGCTGATCCTCGCCATCTTCAGGTACAACAGTGGCTTTTGACCGGCTTGTCGCAAAGCCTGTGTAGGACAAGTGGCTGATGCCGTTGTCCGTTCTGCTCTCCGTTACCGCCTTGATCTGTGGAATATTTTACAGTTCATTCCCTACAGGCTCAGTATGTGCAGAGGAAGGGAGCGATTGGGCGCCAGGTGGCTCTGGGCTTACCCGGGAAAGGGCACCGCCAGTAGCAAACCCTCTTCGGGTTTTAGTCTGAACTTTCTAGAAGGTAGCCAAGATGGTGAACCTTTCTGGAGGAGAGGCGTTAGGACCTTGGAGAGCTCCTGTAGAGGCTAAACCCCAGAGCTGAAAGATCGCCAACAAAGTGGGGGCCCCGTCCGCTCCCACGAGGGTTCTTATACAAAACTGGACATTTTGAAATCTGTGGAGTTGAGTTGTGTGACCGTCTTAGCAGCTCCGTGGCAATTCTCCCTCTCCGTACTGGGATTTTTGGACTTTTCTGGACTACAAGTCCCATAATCCTCCACTCAGTTCTACCTGGCAGACAGGAGCCCTTACAGACGCCTACTTGTGGCTCAGCTGGGAGGCATGGAGGCTGTCTCTGCCTGGCTTCCTGTTCAGAAAGAAAGCGCCTCGCTAGCGCTGGGGCAGGAAGAAGAAGTAGAGGCAGAGGGAAGCTTAGCGAGGCCTCAAAGCCTTCCAGCCGAGATCTTTCTACCAGGAAAACCACATGGAGGAGTCCGTAAGGAGGTCTTTCTGTCAAATGGAACTCCCAGAATGGAGAATGATGGGGTTTGTAGTCCAGAGATATAGTCCCCCCAGAGGTGGGACTGGTTGAGTTCAGCTGGTGTCATCTTCAAGACTGCAATGTCTTCTTCAGCGTCAGCTTTTACAGACTGCAGGCCTGCAGTTTTGCCTCGGTGAGATCTTTCTACCAGGAAAACCACACGGAGGAGTCCGTAAGGGGGTCTTTCTGTCAAGAGGAACTCCCAGAATGGAGAATGATGGGGCATGTAGTCCAGAGATATATATTTTAAAAATCCCATATCTCACCCTGAGAGACACACATCAGATTCCAGAGGTGGGACTGGTTGAGTTCCGCTGGTGTCATCTTCAAGACTGTAATGTCTTCTTCAGCATCAGCTTTCACAGACTGCAGGCCTGCAGTTTTGCCTCGGGGCCAGGCAGCGGGGCCAGGCAGGTGTAGAACTATGTGGGTGGAAGGAGGATCTGGAGGAACAGAAATGCAGATGGAATGGCTGGGAGAAATGAGGCATTTTATTTTTTTGTGAGTCAATTTTTGAACAGTCATTTCTTCAAGCTCTGATCTGGCTTTGTACCAGAGTCATTAGCTGGCACTGAGCCGCCGGAAGCAGGAGTAGATAAGAGTCCCATCTGAACCCTGTGCTTTTGATCCCCTCCCCCCAGGAAGCTTCGCTGCACCCGGAATTACATCCACGCAAACCTCTTCGCTTCCTTTGGGCTACGGGCCCTGTCCGTCATCGTGAAAGATGCGCTGCTAGAGAAGATGTGGAGCAAAGAGAACGTGGTGGTGTCTGAATGGGAGGCCTTCGTCCAGCACGAGGCAAGAGTTCCAGAGATTTGAATCTTGAGTTAAATTCCTCTAATGCAGGGCACGCTGGGATGCACAGAGTAGAACAGCTTCAAATGCCCCAGATAACTTTGTCCCTTTTCTCATCAACTGGCACTTACAGTCTCAAAAACTTTCTCTGAGACATTAGTAGGAGAAAGAATAAAAAAAACGAGATTGTCTTCACTTACAGTTGAACAGATCAAACAGTAAACTGACAAACACGGCTGCTTTCAGAAAAGTACTTTAGCAGATTAACTGCTTCCCGCAGACCAAGGAGATGGGGGAAGACACAGCAGAGAGGCTGGAGGGAACAGTGGGTTAGCAGACATGATTACCCTCTGCTCCTGACGATGCATTATGCAGCTGCAATGGCAAACTGAGCCTCTGAGAACAGTTGAGGCTGGAATTCCTCTCTTTTATCCTTCTGATTGTAACTGAAGAATTAACTATAAGTAAAGCCTATTTTTAAAATTCTTTCTACCTTAAGCTAGTAGTAGCATGATTTATTACACAAACAAAGGGGGTTGGATTGGAAGCTGGCTTTCTAGCTATACTCCTCCCATGTTCTCTTGTGCTGTAGCTGGTTTATTTTGAACTTTATAATCTGGTGACAAAGGGAATCAACTAAACCCCACAAAAATTACACCACTTTACAGGACTGTTGTAGGATTAATTAGAAGTTAAACATACCATCAGAAATCACAGGCTGACAAACCTGTTGCTGGACTGTGCAGTTTGCAAGTGGAAAGACTGTCCATTTGAAAAGTTTCTTGTCTCAAAGCAAAGGAAAATACCCCCCCTCCCTAATTTTCTGATTAGGGGTATGAACCTTCTCTCTGATGTCATGGAGAAGAACTCGAGAAGTTAGTTTCTTGGGAGCAGAGCTTCTAGAATCCCTCACACAGCATGGGAACTGGCCGTGCTAGCTGTAAGTTCTGGAGGCTGTGGTCCAAAGACGGGACATTTCCAAAGACTACCTAATAGGGGCATCAGGCAGCTTAGGGGGTCCACTGTTCTTTGCACAGCCAGTCCGTTCCTTATGCTTCCACGTTCTCTTTCATTCTCTTCTTCTAGGCTACAATTGGTTGCCGAATAGCACAAGTATTGATGCACTACTGTATTCTAGCCAACCACTACTGGTTTCTGGTCGAGGCGGTTTACCTATACAAGCTTCTGATTGGAGCTGTGTTCTCAGAAAAGAATTACTACACCCTTTACCTCTACCTTGGCTGGGGTAAGTAGGAATCGAGGATGGGGAGCATTGGCTTATTCATGGACCGCACAGGGTCTTGCGAAGCACAGTTTTTCCCTGCCATTTTAGCACCAAAGAGATCTGTTCAGGAAAAACCATACCAGCATTGTCCCTCGTGGTTGGGAACCTGTTTTCTAAAGAAGGCTCTTAGCACTCCAGAAAATTTTACTGTCTTTTCCCAGTCAGGGTTCAGTTAGTGCATTATGGTGTCAGAAGTGAACAGTTAGAATGAAGTGTTCTGTCAGCAATGTAACCAGTAAGTTAATAATGAAGTAAATGAAGTAGTTAAGCTCAGTAATGTAACAAGTTAACATTTTCACACAATACTTTTTTATATATATACGAAGAATTGTGAGTAAAATGGACCTTTTATTCTTATTGGCACTAGAGTCTCTGAGTGAATGTAATGGAACATGTAAGTGCCAGTTGATGTAAATTAACAAATATGGGCTGCTCTCCAAAGGGAGAGACTGTGGTTCAGTCCGCTCTGTAGGTTCCTGCCAGAACCATTTTTGTCTGCTGCATAATAAGAGGAAGTTCATTATTATTTTTAAATTAAGGCCACATGGTTTTTTTTAATCACCTGTGTCTTGCAGGAACGCCCGTGGCCTTCGTGGTGCCGTGGATGACTGCTAAGTACTTGAAGGAGAACATAGAGTAAGTAAGATTTGCTGGGAAAGAGCCTCTTAGAGATTCTTGGAACTGTCAGGAGCTGGCGGTGTCAAGTGTGTTGGTGGAAATGGGGGAGCTGCGGAAGGGGGAGAAAACAGGAGGCAAGGCCACCCCTTGTCAAAGACCGAGATGACTCAGATGTTCTGCCTGATTCTGCATAGTGAGAGGGAAATGCATGATGCAGATCCCAGTAGGTTTACACACCGTATTTTTCCGTGTATAAGATGATACATTTGCCTAAAATCTTTAGACTAAAAATTCAGGGTCGTCTTATACACGGAGGTAAGCGGAGAGAACAGAAACAAGTGGAGGGTAAAGCAGGGATCAAAGCGATCCTGCAGAGCTTTGATCACTGCTTTCTCCCTCCACTGGCTAAGCCCCGCGGAGCTTAGCAAAAGGAAGGGGAAAGCAGTGATCAAAGGGCAGCAGGATCACTCTGCTCACTGCTTTCCCCCTCCTTTTGCTAAGCCCCGTGGGGCTTAGGAAGTAGCGGGGAAAACAGCGATCATACAGAAGGAATGTATGTCCCAAGGACACGCTGTCAAGTTGGTTTTAAATTGCACCGGTGATTCAACTCGGACTCAACTTGGAAGGTTTTTCCCCCCCAATTATTCAGACTTATGTCTTGCAACCGACTCATCCCTCCCTTTTTTGGGGGGGGGAATAGGGACTCAGGCTTGGGGCTTGGTACTAAAGACTTGGCTTCAGGGCTTGGCACCAAAAACTCGCACTCAGGACTTAGCCCCAGACTTGAACCTGCTTTCAGAGAGGTGAACCGCAGCCATCAGGATGGGCAAACCAAACCCATAAATCAATCCCAAGGCAAAGCACGCTCAATGCAAGAGACGTAGGTGAGGAAAACCAGGTGCTACTAAAAGCAGCTCTCTTTTCACGTTTTTGTGCCACGGCTAATTCTTTCTGCTCTCCTTCTGTAGGTGCTGGGCAGAGAATAATAACATGGCTTACTGGTGGATTATCCGCATCCCTATTTTGCTAGCGTCTGTGGTAAGTGCCTTTCCTTCCTCCTCTTGCAGCAGGCATGGGTGAAATGGGACATCTCTGGTCTCGGCAGGTATCCTGCACTTCTGGCACGTGGCAGGATTGGGGGGGGCTCTCCCCATCGTCTCGCCGCGTGGCCCCTGGCATTCTTGCGTGGCCCTTGTCCAGACTCTGCTGCACACTGGGCCGCCCCGGATGGTTCAGTAGGAGAGGCTGCGCCAAACGGATCTCCAGCCCAGCAGCTCCTTGCCTCGAGAGCTTGCAAATGTTCCTTTTTTATTTGGAAGCCATGCCAGCTAGAGGATTCTAGACAGCGTCCTTTTCCAGGCTGTGATCGCCTTCCCCATTCAAAGGTCTAAAAGGATACATAGCCAAGATTTTGTGGGGGCTGCTGTCAGAGATTCACCGTCCTGCATGCTGCACAGTTGTGGTCTGTCTTAGGTCCTCATTTGCGGTCTCTCCACTTCCCCTTTTAAATTCCTTACATTGTCCTAGGGAAAAAAAAACCCACTACGGCAGGGAACTTTGCAGGAAAACTAATAATGAGTGCCTCTCCAAAACACAGCGGGCCAATTGATCTACTTGACGTTCTGTTCCAATCGCCAGAGGCACAGAACACTGGCTCAGGAAGGTGGCCGCGTCCATCAAAGCCCGAACGGAAAAAGGGCGCCTCGGGGCCCCTGTTTGACCCAAGAACGTGCGATCCAAACAAGAAAAAAAATGAGAAGTACATACCATACAAAAATCAATCCTGATTTCCCCAAATATGTTCTTCCTTCACAACATAAGGTAGCAGGAAGATTCAAATAATAATCCCCACGAACTGTCAAGTCAATTCTGATTTATGGTGGCCCCTGTTTGACGCAAGAACGTGCGATCCAAACAAGAAACAAAATGAGAAGTACATGCCGTACAAAAACCAACTCCTGATTTCCCCACAAGTGTTCTTCCTTCACAACATAAAGTAGCAGGAAGATTAAAATAATAATCCCCACGATCTGTCAAGTCAATTCTGATTTATGGTGATCTTCCCAGGGTTGTCCAGGTAGAGGGAATACGCAGAAGCAAATTTCCCCCGGGGTTGTCCTGGTAGAGGGAATACGCAGAAGCAAATTTCCCATTTCCTTCCACTCGGGGGCGCTGTGGGACTGTGCAGCTGGCCCAAGGCCACCCAGGCTGGCTCTACTTGTAGGAGGCACAGTGGGGGAATCGAACTCCCAACCTTTGGCTCCGCAGCCTGAGATCTAACTCACTCAGCTATCCAGCCAGCTCTAGCAAGAAGATAGTGGATGCTTTTAACTTATTTAGCCCGAGATCTAACTCACTCCAGCCAGCTCTACCAAGAAGATAGTGGATGCTTTTAACTTATTGCTGCTGTTGCAGTCTTAAAATAACCGAGTGCCTATGAAACCATTGTTATACTCCGTTGGCCTGCAGATCCCAGATTACCCCAGCTAGCATTCTAGATTTTGAGAGCAACCTTTGCTAACCTGTTGCCAAACGCCCTGAGAGTCTTCCAGGAGATCCTGACCCACCTCTGGCTCGTCCTCGCTCTACGCCACGCCAGGAGCCCCTGGCAAACTGCTCTTGCCATCAAATAAACTCCAAGGGGTTGATGTAGGGCTGATGGACCCTCAAGACGGCTCAGCTGGGGGGACCATCCACGCATCATGAGGGTACGAAGCAAAGGTGGCCCATCATCTCTTAGAACAAGATCTAACCGTTCCGATTCCTTTTTACAACGCTGTGGTTTTGTTAACTTCGAAAGCTCTTGCTAACCCTCCCGTATGTTTGTTCTCTCTCTCTCAGATCAACCTCTTAATCTTCATGCAGATCCTCAAGGTGATCCTGGCTAAACTGAGAGCCAATCAGAAAGTTTACGCAGACTACAAGCTGCGGTAAGTCCAGCCCCCCCAGGGAACGCGGCAGACTTGGGCTTCTCTGATTTGGTACCAAGTAAGATTGAATTGTCCTTCCTCTTCCCTCCTGCTCCTCCCAGATTAGCCAGAGCCACGCTTACTCTTATCCCTCTCTTTGGGATCCATGAAGTCGTCTTCATCTTCGCAACAGATGAGCAAACCACCGGAGTTTTGCGCTACATCAAAATGTTCTTGATGCTTTTCATTAGTTCTTTCCAGGTAGGAGTTTGATTTAAGATTCTGAATTGTTCCATGTTATGAAATCCCCTTGTTTACTATATGCTTGCTTTCGTTCCCACGTCCAAGGTGAATTTTGCTGTGCCAAATCTACCCAAGAACTCTCTGGAGCAGTGGTCCCCAAATGTTCCCGGACTACAACTCCCAGGAATCCTGGCCAGCACAGCTGGTGGTGAAGGTTTGTGGGAGTTGTAGTCCAAGAACATCTGGGTTACCCAAGGTTTGGAACAGCTGCTCTAGTATGGAGGACAGTTTAATTGGATGGCTCATTGCAACACCAAAATGTCTTGCATGACCCCATTGACATAAATAAAACCCACGCAAGAGCATTGCTTGTGTAGGAAACCTTTTGTGTTGGACTAGATTCACGGAGTGGGTATCCTGTGTTGGGTAGTGGATCAAGGGATAGACCAGGATTCAGGAAACCTGAGTTCAGATCTCGTCTCGGCCACGGAAACTCGCTGTGTGTGTGTGTATCCGGTCAAACCACTCCTTAAACATCTCATTTACCCTGAAAAACCTATTAGGGTAATTATAAGTTGGTTCCGACTTTGATGGCATGTAACAGATCTGTGCAATATTGCTTAAAATCCCACTACTTACACCATTCTCAAAAAAGGGAAACTATGCTAGTCTGTTTCAACATATAGTAGGACTTCTGTATTCCCTGGGACTGGTTCCAAGCACCCCGGTGGATGCTGAAAAAAGACAGATTATTGAGAACGCTTGTTTTAATACTGAACACCATACATAGTGTGGTGTCTGGAGCTCTCTAGGGGCCAGTCCTGGTAACTTCATATTTAGAAATATACGTATATTTCTAGGATTTTTCTTTTAATATTTTCAAACTGTGGATAAGTGAATGAGTGGATACTGATCTTGTGGACACAGAGGTCCTATTGTATAATAAAAATGGAGTGTGAAGGCCGTGGCATTCTGAACACATTTATTTTAAGAGATGGACTTTTAAGAAATTTATTTCAGTGTGAGCTTTTCCGGATTACGATCCACTTTCCCGAAAACACGAATCTCCGAAGAAGAGGAACGCACAAAAAGCTCATACTGAAATAAATCAGTTTGCCTCAAAGCCTTTTCCGTTTGTTACACATGGTCTGCACAACTCAGCTTTGCATCTGGAGTGCAATTTACACACCCTTCTGACCATTACCTGCTCCCAGCCAATCTAGGAGTCCAGGGCATCGCACAACTACAGCGTGGACATCCTGACTTCAGTGGCCAAAGTACCACGAAGCCACGGCTTGTGGCACCCCCTGGAGGCTGCTGCCTGTTACCACAAAACTCATGTTGTGTTTTCTCCGATTGACCGCAGGGATTCCTGGTCGCTGTACTCTACTGCTTTGCAAATAAGGAGGTAGGTGATATCTCCTCCCCGAGATGATCCTTGGGGGGTAGCCATGGGGCTGAGCTTGTGCCCGATCCTGCCCAGCCTGACACCATTGCCAGCCAACCTCATCTTCTCGGTAACAGGAAGGGCTTCACCACGATAGCATTTCTATAGCCCTGGCCAAGACTTTATCTCTTCTGAATACTGCACACCTCTGGAAGATCACCAGAAATTGGAAGTGACTTGATGGGCAGATGTTATTAAGAGCTGGTTGCTACCTCGGGCAGCCTTCCACCTCCTTTGGAATGACGTTGGGTCAGATGGTATGCTTCTGTGTCTCTGAGACACTCAAGTCAAAAGCCGTGGGTGGAGATGGGTATGAATTTAAAAACAAATAATCAAATTTGTTCCAAAAAAAAAAAAATCACTAATACGTCAATTCATATTTGTATGAATCAATGTCGCCCATGAATCAATGAATATTTAGTGAATTTTTGGTTTATTCATTTGTCTACAAAATGGCCTCCAAACCACCTAGAGGTACCAAATCTCCAGGGACACTTCCTTTGACTCTTCTCTACAATCCCTCCAAGTTTGGGGGAGTTTGAGGTTTCCCAACCCAGCTGCTAATGGGCACTTTCGGGGAGGGGTAGAACACCCCATTTGTGGATGTGTAACTTGGATGTCTAAAACCCAACCTACACCAAACTTGGAGGTATTGTAGAGGAGAGTCGGCGAAGCTTCTCTGCGATTTTGGTGTCGCTACAAGCCTGGGGGGAACTTTCCAATGTGGGGGGAAAAACTTCCCTGCAAATTAGGTGTCCCTAGGTGCTTAGGGGCCGTTTTAAAGTTTTTTTAAAAAAATAATGGATTCATCAATTAATTTTTTAAAAAATGTAAATTTGTGATTTGTCACAAGTGAATCACGAATCGAAATGAATCACAATTTTTCCGATTCATGCCCACCTCTAGTTTGCGGCAATAGTTCCCTAGAGTAGAATTACTCAGTACATGGCAGTATCATCAAGGTTCTCTTCATTTCTTGTGTTTAAGTTGTGCGCCCTCAGCTTAAGTTGAAGAAGAAACATTTCAGCAAGAGCTCTGCCTTAAGGTCCCGATGGTGGGAACGGAAAGGATTGCCCTGAACAGAAGAAGCTCTCCAAGTTGCAGCATTTTCTTACAAGACCCATGTACTATAATTATTTGAGAGATAATTTATTTTCATTTACCTGAAACTAAGGTGGCATGGGCTTAGCGATCTCTCTCTCTCTCTTTTTTTGTAAGGTACATAGTGGGTATATTTGATAGAGTCTGCATTTCTTATAAGTGGCATTCTACATGTCTACAAAGTGCCTAGAAGCTGAATCTCAGAATGTAAATACGTCTTAATGTCCTTTTAAGTACTTGGATGTATTCAGAATTAATCAAGCTGTCAAGTCATGGAGCGGGATAGATAAAAAAATCAGAGATTTTTAAAAGAATTAAATCACAATTCAGATTTTAAAAATCCTTTTAAAATCGTCAAAAAAAACCAAAAACTCCCCAATTTTTAAAAATTTAAATTGTGAATTGAATTTGACGTAAATCAGATCCACCCTGCCTGGAGGTTATAAAAACAAGCAATGCGTCAGGAAATTTATTGCTCAAACCTCGCCATTAAGGGGCCTTAAGCAAGTCAAACACACTTTGCTTCAGTTCCCTGCAACACTGGGAAATACTGGCCTACATTCTCAGGTTGGTTCTAAGCAAAGCAAAATAAATTACTTCTTCCTTTTCTCACATTCAATGCATGCGTATGGTCAAGGAGTTTACAGCCCAGTTAACTATTTTGGAACCAAGGCATGCTGGACAAGTCAGAGTTAGAGTATGATTCCCAGAATCTCCCAGTGAGGATGGTACTGGCCACACTGCTCTCGGGATTCTGAGAATTATAAGCCAAAATCCTATTTTGTAAATTAGCAAAAGAAAAAGTGATCATGTCACTGGCAAGGGAGACTCCCAGTAACTCTCTGCTTTGATTCTAGGTTTTAACTGACTTGTGCACAATGAGACTGATCGCATGTGAGTTGGACAAACTTTGAGATCAAAGCAGGAAGTCTCTAAAGACTAGCAGCCCAGAGACATCATCACCCTTATACAGGAGTAATATGTGGAGCAGGATTTTGGCCATAGCCAAAAGTGAAACATTTCTAACTGGCCGGATGTGTCATTGCATAATATGCGGTCTATTACTTTCTCCGTTCTTGCAGGTAAAATATGAAATGAGAAAGAAATGGCAGCTGTGGAAACTAGACCATCCAGCACTCTGCTGCACCCAGTGAGAAGGTGAAGGAGAAATGCCACAAACTAGGGCAAGAACCATCCACTTGGGCAGCCTCTGAATCACCAACTGATTGCGTATCCCACAATGGACCTCTTCTAGAATTTGAGGCAGGCCTTGGCGTGACAGTCACAACAATGGATACTGCTCTAGCTCAAGGTTGTCGTTGTGAGAAACGCAGCGGTGGCTATTGTCTGTTGTGTGATCAGGAAAATCCAGCTTACTGGTCAGGAGCAACAGAAAAGCAGAGGGCACTGCTGATGGCCGAGGCGAAGAGACGGCCAGAATCGGTGGGATTTGCTGCTGACGAGATTGCGAAGCTCTGCAGAGAGGGGTGGGGAGATGTTACCTACGGATCCGGCTTTGGAAGGATAGGACTGGACTATCATCCATAATAGGAAGTCAGGGTTCTTAAAAACATCTTCTGTGCTCTGGCCCCATCAGAGTGCAGCTCCTGTCGACCCCCACACCTCTAAAAAGGACTACTACAACTTGTTTCTTTCACAGGCAGCTATAGAGAAGTTCCTTTGGTATTTGCTGGAACATCTGGATTTCTCCAGTTTCCAAGCAGATCAGATACTGGAAGAAGAGCACTGTTTCACTTTCCGTACACAACAGTTATTCCCAATTTGGGCTAAAGGGCACACTGTGGAGGCAGGGCTGAATTGTGCCTTACAGAGCCACTATAGTATAGGCAGCTCCCATTTCTGATACTGCATTTCTACGCATCTTTCTCTATTTTAACATAGAAGGACTACCATCACTCTGAGAGAGTACACACTCCATAATCGAACCAACGGCACTGTCTGCCATATGAAAGTCCAGGTAAAAGGGAGTGAGGAGATGTCAAAAATTAACATTATCTTGGGCTTGTGAGATAATTGCTAGAAAACTCTGACAAGGAAGATTCTGATGAATGTCAGGCAGCTTTTTCGCTTTTGTATGCGGGGGAAACGGCTGCAGGGATCCGAGAGCTGCAGAACGCTCCACCACGTGAACACAACCTACAACTGGATCGTTATTTTGGACATAACTCTGCAAGAGGAATCTGGTGCTCACATAACAGAAGCTTCAATTGCACAAGTGTGTGTTTTTTCCTCTCTTAAAAAATGTAAATAAATACTTTTTAGTAGGAAAACAATGCTCTTCAGCCAAGATGCAGTTGAGTTGCAATGGAGGGGGAGGGAACAGGAAGGCTTTACGACAATGTCCACGGGAGGGGTGTGAGCACCCTGCTGGTCTGGGATCTAATAACTTCCAGCTACAATGGGGGCGGGGTGGGGGGGGAAGGATCAAGAATTCACGACAAGAGTAAGTCACAGGTAAGTGCTCAGCATCTCCCATAACTTATTTTGGGGCATCTACTTCCTCTGTAGATCTCTTCCTGGGAGGTAGCAAATACGACCACAGATCAGATGGCATGAAACGGAGTAGGAGGAGCCCTTGTACCCACCCAACACTGTGAGATAGCTCAGGGGTTTAGGTCTCTGGCTGTGGAGCCAGAGGTCGGGGGTTCGATTCCTCCACGGTGCCTCCTGGACATGGGGCTGGACTGGATGATCCCATGGGGTCCCTTCCAGCCCTGCCGTTCTGAGACTATTACTAACACCTTTCCTGCAGACGGTTGGGAGGGTAATGGAAATGTAAGCACCTTACAAACGCGCAATACTTTCCAAGTCTTCCGAATTATAGGTGTGACCAGTGTCAAACTGCAGTAAATACCTAGCACTGATTTCTACACAGACGATCTCACTTTTCAGCCCTGCCCTGGAGCAAGGGTCCTCAAGACAACCAGCCACCTATGAAAATTTTGTACATTATGGGCCAAGCTTGGCAAAGTCCTTTTCTTGGACTCCCCAAGCTCTGCACTCAGATGCTGCCTGGAAAAAAAATGAGTTCAGAAGGTTGCCCCCCCATTGTCACCTAATTTCCTCCAAACATCCCCCAAACTGTAGCACGATGGATCCCGATGTTGCTCTTGCCAAGACAGGAAATTCCAGCAAACCTCTGGAGAAATGTCTCTGTGAAGTCCTGAAGCCTGCGTAGCGCACACGGGCGTGATAGCTGCAAAGAACCAACACCCTGACCATTAAGATTCAAAGCGATTTATTTTCAAAACACTTCATGTCAAAGTTTGGTCAGTGAAGACAAGAGGATCTGCGACACGGGAATGTCTTACCGAGCCCCAGTGTTAAGACACATGCTCAACAGCAGGAACTGAGCCCAGCATTATAACCTATTTCAAAAGACATCCTAAAGCAGGTAAAACGACCCTTATAAATGGCGCCTCCGGAGCGTCTCTGCTCCTCCAGTGCTCTTGTGGACTTAAAACTTCACCCTGTTTCGGGTGGGAATAAAGCTAGTTTCACTCAAAGCCGCCACACTATCGGCCTTCCTCAGCCCAGTCCCTTCCAAAGGTCTTCCAGCGCCCCTCCTGTCGTTCCCCAAAGATGTGACGATGGAACCAGATGATGAGAGGAACGGCAGTACGACAATTCGGAAGGGTTGCAAGGCCCAGAAGGGAAGGTTCTTTCATAGGCCACCCCCCCTTTGACAATTAAAAAGAGTGGATTTACTGTTTAAAAACACTGTCCTCCCATCATTACATAGAGCAGCAATGTCAAAAAGTGACTGCAACATCATTTTTTGTTTACATAAATACACACGGTCTCTGGTTCGCTCTGCAAATCAAAGGTGGGGAACCTGTGCCTGAGCTGTATCCCTACCGCTGAGCCTCCCTAGAACCGGACCTTCATCTCTACAAACCAATTCCCAGCACATTTAAAAATTTAAAAAAGCACAGAACTCTTGGCTCCCATATCTTCGTTACCCGCACAACTCCACTCGTCCCTGAGCCCCGGCCATTCCGATTGGGGCTGAGGGCTGTCACTCTCCAAAGCCCCTAGAGACCAGGGGTGGTTCCCAGACGTCCTTGGACTAAAACTCCCAGAAGCTTCCACCATGAGCTCTGCCCGTCGGGGCTTCTGGGAGTTGCAGGCCAAGAAGTGGATACCCAGGAGAGGCAGGGCTCCGCTTACATGCAGGGAGCTCTCTTTGCGATAAACGAGCCACACTGCGTCATTAAAGCCCCTTCCTCCCTACGGAGGGAAATGATCCTGCCCAGCCATAGTCTTATTTATTTGTACTAACAGATTTATGTCCCAACACACTGCCTATACAGTAAAGGCAGCTAATGATTTTAAACATTAAAACAATCACATCTTTAAGACATAACAGTATTTAAAACATCCCACTACCTCTGTCTAAACCAAGCATAAGACAGGTAAGCAGAGCAAAGTTGATTCTACACCACGCCGGCTTCTTTGGGCTTAGGATAGCGGTAGCCGTTTCGAAAACCTAGGGATCCCCACGGGCGTTGACACAGAGGGTAGAGGGGAAGCCCATTTGGCCGAACAAAGGCAGGTTCTCTTGAATAACACCCACCCTTCCGCTAGAAGACACATGGCTCTCTCCCTGTCCTGCCAGCGTTTTCCAGAAAACAAGGACTCGAGAGTTTGCCTCTAAGCGCAATCGAGTCTGGTTCTCGGATGAGTCTGCAGGAAGATCTTTTCCTAGTTCAAGTCTTAGATTTCTGGGTCTCTCCACAACGCAGGTGTGAAGTGAGCCACATTGCTTGGCTACGTGTGTGGATGCCTCGGATGCGACGCTGGCCCATTTATCAGATGAAAGCCAGAGAACGGAAAAGGCTTCCCTCTTCCGTCCCCTATCCTTGACCTCAGATCAGTGGGGCACTGCAAGGCAGAACGACGTGCCCAATTCTATGGGGAGGCTGAGGGATCCCTGGCTTCCAGGGACCAGTTTACATCATCAGCTCCCCCCCCACTCCGAGCAGGGATACCCAGGGCCACTTTAGGAGCAAACAGGAGCTCTCGGTTCTTGCACATCCTAGGACGAACCATCCCACAAGAACAAAAACAAGTTATGAATGTGGGTTGGTGGAGTGGAGAGACACCCCAGGCAACATGAGTGCTCTGAAGTGGGTTACCTTTTTAACCTCTCTGATAACCGGAGAAGAAGGATCGTACCATATGAATGGCAAGAATAAAGGGCCATGGTTGTCTGTTGAAAGGATGGAGGAGTAGGGAACCCCCCCCCCCACTGGCTGCTGCTAACCAGAGTCTGCTGCTAACCAGAGTGTGTTTGCTGCTAACAAGAGTGTGTTCACTTCCTTGCTCAAGGCAAAATAATAGGGTAGTCCTATACAAATGGCGTGGTTGGGAGCGCCACCTGCTTTCCAGCACGGTGGATGTTCATTATGAACCTTCCCCCAAATACCTTACCTCTCCACCACAGCTGCAGTGCAGTTCTTCAGTTGAACCCTAAACCCCAAAGCTACTGTAGAGGACCAGGAGGTGGTTCTTGCACTCCTGCCAGTCTGCAGGTCAGCTGAATTTCTAAACAGGGGATGATGCCCCTAAGCCCCAGAATCGTGATGCCTCCATCTTTCCCCCTGTTGTCGCGAGGAAGAGAACAATGGAAAGGAACCTCTGCATTGATGTGCCCAAGCTCTTGGTTAGATGGTTTCTCAAACAGTATCACATCTTCCACAACAAGAGAAACGTGATACGAAGTTGTATGCTTGGAATCTCCAAGCCTGTATCCCCAACAGCTCTTGGCGGCAGGTCAGCCTCGGCGCCGCCCGGCAGATCCAACCTCTTCTTACCCAACAACGGGCCGCTTCGCTGGGGTGGCAATCGGCAGCTCCTGCCGCAAGCAGCCTCCGGAGGAGCGGATCCACCTCTGGCAGTCGCTCCATCTCTCGCATCCCCACACTCTCCCAGGCAAAAGAACACGGCTTCTGGGTGGAATGGTCACCCGACGTCAGAATGGCTACATAAGGAGGGGACAGGCAGTGTGAAAACGAAGCACGGCTAGTAGGGGGAAATACGCTGCTGTTAAAAATATACAGGTTGGGATGGAATTTCTATAAGGTCGAGAGGAAAAAACCGTGACAGCCCACTGCAAGGTTTTATGCCTCCTATGCATCAACAAAGCAACCCTATCAGATTAAATCCTCCTGTCTCACAGTCAGAGAACGATGGAGCTGGAAGGTACCTATCAGTCCATTGAGTCCAACCCCTTCTCAAGGTAGGAATCCATATCAAAGCAGATCCGACGGACAGTTGTCCAGTTTTCTCTTAAAAGCCTCCAGTGTTGGGAGTGCTCACCGCCTCCCGAGATCATGGGTCCCGTTGTCAAACTGCTCTAACAGTTAAGAAGTTTTTCCTGATATTCAGCCTAATCTGTAGCTTCAGCCCATGATTACGTGTCCTGGGATGGCCAAGAACAGATCCTGTCCCTCCTCTTTCATAAACTGGCTAAGAACACATCTCCTGGAATACCCACAAGAGTAGCTTGAAAGTACTCTTTCCTCATCACTGTTGGCCCCCCAACAACTGGTAAAATACTGCTACTGAGTTTGAAGCATTAACAAAAAGTCACTGAGATCCCCCTCTTGACTTGGTCTAATCCACTATCAGAGCCATACAAGGGACCAGCCACCATACCATGTGTTGCAGAGTCTTCACTGCAGTACTGCGGTTTAACCACTGTGCCACAAGGCTTATTTTAATGGACACGTTCCAGCCTTTGGCTCCATTTTACAAACCTCTCCTTCCCACCCGTCCTTGTTTCTTTTCTTTCCCTTTGCTGTCATGGCTTTCCCCCGGGCATGCCTTGTTCATTAAAGGCGCTGAAGGTGCCTTGCCAGGGCAGGCCAAATTTTAACGAGGATTTAGATGTCTTTCTGATGGATCACAACAAGGATCTGCTAGACTCAGAACAGAGAGAGATTCGGAATCTCTGGCTTTCCGCACATCCCACTCGTTCCTTTTCCACTCAATGCTGACCTTCGGGGGTGGTTGTGATGGAGCCAAAGCCCAGTTTCCCTGTCCCTGAGGCTGCTGGAAAGAGCTAAGGATCGCTCTACGATCAAAGCAAAAAGATCAGCCTTTGGGCTCTTCTGGAAGCAGGGCAATGAGGACGCTTAAGCAAATGCGCTCCTCCTCTGCCCTAAGCCTGGTTCCGTGTGGACAGAGCAAATGCTGACCTTCGGGGGTGGTTGTGATGGAGCCAAAGCCCAGTTTCCCTGTCCCTGAGGCTGCTGGAAAGAGCTAAGGATCGCTCTACGATCAAAGCAAAAAGATCAGCCTTTGGGCTCTTCTGGAAGCAGGGCAATGAGGACGCTTAAGCAAATGCGCTCCTCCTCTGCCCTAAGCCTGGTTCCGTGTGGACAGAGCAGAGCAAGAAGTCACATCATGATGCCCTTATTTAAAGTGACTTCTCTTGCATTCCATTGAGTGACCTAGAACCAGAGGATTACAGACATGGGAAGCCTTTCTCCAGACTAAGAAAAACTTAAATTTAAATGATAAATGAACACACGAAAAGCTGCCCTAGCTTCAGTACCTGAACCTAAGCCTGGTTCCGTGTGGACAGAGCAAGCTGGCATGGTGTAAGTGGGCTGGCAGCCCTTTCCTACCTTCCCTCTGCCACAGAACTGGGCCCCCACCTTGTCATGTCTCCACATTCTCTCCGACTCACCTTCTCCCGCTGCTAGGGCTGCTTCCGGGGTGGTCTGCCACGAAAAGCTGCCCTAGCTTCAGTACCTGAACCTAAGCCTGGTTCCGTGTGGACAGAGCAAGCTGGCATGGTGTAAGTGGGCTGGCAGCCCTTTCCTACCTTCCCTCTGCCACAGAACTGGGCCCCCACCTTGTCATGTCTCCACATTCTCTCCGACTCACCTTCTCCCGCTGCTAGGGCTGCTTCCGGGGTGGTCTGCCCTTTTCTGGATGCTGCATGCTATGCTCGGATGGCGTAAGTGGGACAGCAGCCCTTTTCTACCTTCCCTCTGCCACAGAGCCGGGCCCCCACCTTCTCTCCGACTCACCTTCTCCCACTGCTAGGGCTGCTTCCGGGGTGGTCTGCCCTTTTCTGGATGCTGCATGCTCTCAAGATTCAGGCTGACAGCATGGAGCATTTCCCCTAAAGAGACAGGCAAGAAAAACCTTAGGGCAGTCTTCACGCTTGTACTGCCGCCATGAACTGACGCTGAAGATGAACACCCTGAGCCCCCCCCCCCCATTGCCCCAAATCCTATCACTCGGGGCAATCAGTAGTTTTAGAAGAGGTAGCCATGTTCGTCTGGGCAAGAGTATCAGGCAAACATCCAAAGAAAGAAAACAAGACAAGATCCTGTCCTCGGCACAGTAAATTGCCCTAGAGTAGGTCCATTGAATCAATGGAGGTTTGGTGAGTCAACTACTACATAGGTTCCATTGACTCAAACGGGCTTAATTTAGCTGGGACGTACTATGAACTTAACAGAGGAGATGACTCACTAAATCTCCACTGAGTCAATGGACCTGCTCTAGCAAGACTGCTACACCAAGCAACGGGATTTTGGCCAACGAGGCAGGTATTCCTACCAAAGACTCTGATAACTAAGCCCGCCCCACCAAGAAACCTCACAAGGCCATGACTCATCTTCTGTTCTGTTACTTACACTCTAACCCCTGTACCTCTGTGTGTGTGTGTGTGTGTGCGTGCGTGCGTGCGTGCGTGTGCGTTCCAAGCCCCTGCAGAGGCTGAAAAACATGGAACGGTGTTTTAGTAAACTACATAGGTTCCATTGACTCAAATGGGCTTACTTTAGCTAGGATGTATTATGAACTTAACAGAGGAGATGACTCACTAACATAGGTTCCATTGACTCAAACGGGCTTAATTTAGCTGGGACGTACTATGAACTTAACAGAGGAGATGACTCACTAAATCTCCACTGAGTCAATGGACCTGCTCTAGCAAGACTGCTACACCAAGCAACGGGATTTTGGCCAACGAGGCAGGTATTCCTACCAAAGACTCTGATAACTAAGCCCGCCCCACCAAGAAACCTCACAAGGCCATGACTCATCTTCTGTTCTGTTATTTACACTCTAACCCCTGTACCTGTGTGTGTGTGTGTTCCAAGCCCCTGCAGAGGCTGAAAAACATGGAACGGTGTTTTAGTAATGAACACTATGCATAACATGGTCTCTGGCACCCTCTAGCAGTGGTCAGTTCTGGTAACTTCTGAAAAAATATATATATTGGGAATTTTCTTTTAATATTTCCAGACCATGGATAAGTTAATTAGTGGGTATAGATTCTGTGAATAAGAGGGTCATACTGTAATTACTGATATTGTTTCTTATCTGCCTTTATAATGGTATATAACAGGAGATTGATCTTCAGCCTATCTTAACTGCAGTTTTGCTGTCAAGTTCTACACCAGGTAACCTGTTAAGTACGGGCTTAACAACCTGGGTGGAAGCGTCACTAATTGCACAGACCCTTTTCAGCCTTGCTACTCCTTCAAGGAATTTCAGCTTTGGTCCTGCTGCGGATCAGTCCTTCAGCCAGTTCCCTCCTTGCTGCAGACCTGTTTCATTACCCAGCCTTGTTGCTGGCTTTCCACAGCTCAGTCTGTCACCTTATCAGTTCCCTCCTTGCTGCAGAACTGTTTCATTACTCAGCCTTGTTGCTAGCTTTCCACAGCTCAGTCTGTCAGCCCCCAAGTTCTGGTTGTGACCTTTTATGCAACCTGGTCGTCGTTATCCTCCCACGCGTGTCCGATCAGATTGGAGCGCCCAATGCTCCAACCTCACCCCGCAAGGGGTCAGCTTCCGTGGAAAGCTGGCAACTTCCCAAACGGATCTAATCATTTTGGATTCTCTCCAGCAATAGAACTTCTTAAGCCAAAAAATGGCCTGGCAACCCTTTCTTCTGGCACTTAAAAGAACAGCAAATGCCAAACTCGATGCTGGCTTACGCACCACGTCTCTTTCCAATATGCAGAACGTAGTTTATAGTGCTCTTTACCCTTTGTGGCTCTTTAACCCTATCAGTGCTTACCCATTTCTCCCACACATTTCTCCAGCAGAGTCGACAATTCAGGCAGGTTAAGAACCTTCACGTTGGGAGGCCATTTTTCTGGGTCTAAGGTAGAAAGGACAGAAGGAATCATCAACGCCTGCTAGTCTAGCACCAAGTGTTCTGAAATGTGCTGAACATGGAGGTCAAACTAAGCAGTAAAAGAAAGCCGGGAGGAGCAGGAGCAAAGCAATGAATTGAAACAGGCCAACCAGCAAGCCAGCTGAATGAGGTTCCCAATGTTTCCCCGCAACTGGACAACGGAATAACCAAAGGATTGCTGGAAGGAATGGAAGGTTGTGGACTGGGAGGAGAAGACATTAGTCGATTGACTCTATCATCCCATTCTGGAAACTGAGAAACAGGGTTGATGAGACGGAAGTCTGTCGTCATCTGAGGGAGATCAGACCGAAATTGATTCAGAGAGGTGTGGTTGTGGTGGGATGTCTGTAGGCGTAGACTGCTTAGCTCGTTTAAGTGGAACAGGCTCCGGAGCCCAACCAGCTTCGGTCGGTCTCTGATGTTTAGAAGTTGTTTTCGAAGTCAAGGAATTCGGCGTGGAGGGTTTCGATTTGTGTGTCTTCGAGGCCTTAGACGATGCAGACGGAGAATCGGAATGAGCTGGTATAGCCGATGGACGTTGTTTTGATGATTCAGTAACAGCTTTTTCCATAGCTTTGATTTGGGAACTGGCCCTACAGGGAGGTTGGGCCATTTGAACTGGTTGTAAGGATTGTTCCCAAAGTCGGAAGTTTAGCCTCGAGAGGCAAGATCGAAGAACTCCGCGCTTAAAATTTTTGCAATGGGTACAGGAGGAAGTTTGATGTTGTTCTCCCAAGCAGAAAAGGCACTTAGCATGCCCATCGGAAAGTGGGATCTTATTATCACAGACAACACAGTGCTTAAACGGGCCCAAAGGGGCCATGAACAGGAGAAGTCCCAGGGCGCTCCCAGAAGGAGCAAATGGACAAAACTCCTTCTGAGTATTCTCTACATGAAAAACCCTGAAAAGGGCCACCATAAATCAGCATTGACTTGCTGGCACCTGATTATTTACATAACAATCAGTTACCTCTGGAAGGATGAGCTGTGCCATGTCTTCAAGCAACGTGTAGTCTGTGTAATTAAATTGTAAACCGCCACAGCGAGTGCTTTAGGCACTATGGCGGGGTTTATCAGCAGCACACGTAGCAGCCGTAAGTGATAAGGAACTGTCTGCAGGTTCGTGAGACAAGGCCTTCAAGCCTCAGTACCGAAATGAAGTGGATTGCCAAAGGAAGGAAAATCCCTCCTTAACATTACCCAGCCTAGAAATGAAGGTAGCAGCACCCCCCCCCAAAAAAATCCTTTCTCTGCTAGACCTTAACAGCCTAATAAAATTTATCGCAGGCCAACATTTGTTGAATAATAGGGTCATTAAGTTCCTGGAAGAAAGGTCACATGGGATAATTGATTTCTCCGTCGTTCAATTTTGTTGCTCCCGACCGTCGGAACTATAATTATTTCCCATCATCCGTTCCGTTTACAAAGAATCTCTAAAAAGCTGTCTCCAGGAGCTACTTGACAATGTTCCCTGGCGTTTCCCGACCGACTGCACCGTCATTCATGTTAGCATCTTAGGCCCACCTTCTGGTATTTGCGAGATGTTCTTACCTACCCGTTCCCAGCTGTGCTTTAGCTTCCAAGAAGCGGCCGGCCGTATGTTGTTGATTCGTTCGGGAAGACAGCTCTGCCTGGCAGGCCCTACCAGGAAAAAAATAAACAGGATACAGTCAAGCATAGTTCTGTGAACAGGAGCTCTCCTGCTCCCTACAGCGGCTCCCGACGAGGCAAGACGGCAGTACCTGGAGATCATACAGCAATGCAGCAAAATCAATAAGAGCAAACAATGAGATAGCAGAACTACACACCTAAGATAGAAGGGAGCAGACGAGAGAGGGGAATGGAGTAACCTGACCCTCTCAGATGAAAATACTCACTCTTCATTCAACAGCTGTGGTTGGTTCATTCTGCATGCTGGAAAAGTTAATTGTACAGCCTGCAGGCATTATTTAATTTTGCAAAAATTTTCCAAAATTCTGCCATGCCGAGCATTTTGCCCTCATTTATACTGGAGGGAAGGAGTTATGGAAAGAAATGGACCCAATCCACAATTCCCCAGAAGCTTTGTTCCTCTGTGGCTTCTGTCATTTCATCATGTTTTACCGGCACCCCTCTAAGAATGATCACTGCACTGATGAGGACTAGAAACCTGGACTTTCCCTTCTTAAGGTATTAAAATAAATAGAAGTTGAACTTCTCATTCAGCTGAGCTCAGTGCCACATTCCGTATTTCTTTTCCCCTTGCACTTTTCCAGATTCAGAGATTATATACAATTGTGTTTAATCTTGTAACAAGAACAGGGAAGTAGCAGCTCCAGCATTAGGAAACCAAAGTCAACGCATACAAGGAAAGATAAGTCCCTGGGCCTGAGCAGCTGGTCTTTAGAAGTCAGGATATTTGGATATTTCTAACTTCTGCAACAACCCAATGGACTTAATCACAAGAGGGACCGACTGAGAGCTTCTTCCAGTAGAGGGCGTCACTCCAAACAAAGCCAACCTGACTTTCGCACTCACTGCATGTGTTCCAGGAGAATGGCGGCGCTTCTGGCGACGGTCTGCACCTCCCGAAGCTTCCCCTGGACGTCGCTCCACGCCACCTCCCGCTCCATCAGGCAGCTCTCCACCACGGCACGCAGTTCCCGCTCCTGGCGTGCCTGCCCCTTCAGGGCTTCCACCTCCTCACACTTCTGCAAGAGAACCGCGTCAAAGGGCTAAGAGTCCATGGGGCAGGACAGAGGGCACACGCGGAATTTCAAGAAGGACTGCAAAAACCCTCTTCCACAAAAACAGACCCTGTGCTAGAGAAATATATTTCTAGGGTATCATCAGAACTGGCCACTAGGGGGCACCAGAGACCGTGCCTTGGGTTCACTATTAAAACAGTGTTTGCTATTATCCATGTTTTTTGGCATCTGCAAGGGAGGTTGGGTTACGATAGATACGGAGGTCCTACTGGACTTGGTTTCTTCATTAAGCTGACAAGAGGAAAATTGGTGCTTGCCGGCCAACTGCCTTCCAGTCCCACCGTTTCTGCATTTCAGCCATCTTTGCTACAGGTCCAAAGATGTCCCCTTTCCCCAAAAGGCCTCAGAGAAACATTCCTACACCAAGCTGGGACAGTCCGCTGAGCACAGGGATTCCCATCCTTGGGTAACCCAGAGGTTCTTGGACTGCAGCTCCCAGACATCCTGGCCAGCGTCACTAGTGGCGAAGGCTTCTGGGAGTTTGAGTCCAAGCACCTCTGGGGACCTAAGGGTGGGAACGCTTGGCCTCGCCAAAAGAAGCCAGGACTTCCCGAGGCAGCTTAAGGAACCCACACCTTACCTTATGGAGCTGAATGGCCAGTTCTTGCATTTCTGCCTCTAAGCGGTCGGCATAGGCAAGCTCTATGGCATCGCTGGGCGGCGGAGCACGGCTGTGCCAGCGGGCAATGGCTGACGTCATCTTCCTCTTTGGCCCAAACAGGCTATTGGGGGGAGGAAGGAGCAAAGGGTTACCAACAAAGCCACCCGCCCCCTTGTTCATCCCTTCCCTCCCTCGGACAATTTGTGGCTTGGACAAAAATCACCCCTATTTTGATCTCTTCACTATGGAGGAAACTGAGATCAGGTCTAGATTTCTTCAACTACCAAAAGCTTCAACAAGTCGCAGCGTTTCCCTGGCATTGTTAAAAGCTTTGAAATTCCTAATTTTGAAAACCAAATTACTTTATGCTTTGGCTGCACCATTTATTCTGAAAATCACGCGGAAGGTGCAAAAAAATTTAAAAAAAGGAACACAATGACACAGGCAACATGGCCACCCAGCCAGCAGAAATCCTGTTCAGCCTTGATATTTTATGAAAAGCATTTCCCCCACACACGGGCTGTGTGGCTCGGTGGTTTCGGTCTCTGGCTACGGAGCCAAAGGCTGGGAGTTCGATTCCCCCGCTGGGCTTCCAGGGAGACGAACCAGCCTGGGTGGCCTTGGGCCAGCTGCACACAGTCCAAGAGCGCCCCCCAGTGGAAGGGAAGGGGAAGCCACTTCTGAGTATTCTCTACCAGGAAAACTCTGAAAAGGATTGCTATAAGTTAGAATTGACTTGACGGCATATGATTAGACCACCTTGGAACAGTGTGACTTGGAAAACCTTTTTTAAAAAAACAATGTTTACTTCTCGGCAAGACAAATCTGGTGCTTGTGCTGTTGGACCACTTTGGAACAGTGTGACTTGGAAAACTTCTTTAAAAAACAATGTTTACCGGTACGTCTTGGCAAGACAAATCTGGTGCTTGTGCTGTTGAAATACATCCGAGAGCTCCTTCCTCCTGGAATCCTCCAGCAACCTGGAGTGTGATTCAGGTTAGGCAAACTAACCTAAGAACCAAAGTGCAGCATTGCTAAGAAGAGCGATCGTCTCCACAAAGAACTAATGTGCCAGCATCAATGCTCATTAGCGGCTCATGAGAGCAGGAATCATCTTCTGCAAGTACTGACAGCTTTCCCAGAGTTCTTTTTGGGGCGGGGGGCATATTTCAGGCTGAAGAGGCACATAAGCTTTCCTGCAAAGAGTTCCTACATCCTGGTTCCTCTAAGGGGTGTAGATGTCATACTGAGTACAGTCGGGGAGCTCATTCAAGACCCATTCAGGAAGAGCTGAAGAATTGAGGGTCAGGATACTCAGCATGGGGCAGATCCCTTAATTCTCCGTTCTGGCAGACCCACATCTACCGACAGCTAATGGCGGCTCTCCTGGAGAAAACAGCTAGCTAGGAAGTCTCCATGGTTTAGCATAGGCCTCATTCTGCCTTAGCTGCTGCTTCAAAAAAAGGAAGCTACCAACTAGCCATGGGGCAGCCTCCATTCCGAATAGGAAACTAGGGAGGAGTAAGGCCTATATTAAGCCAGAAACCCTTCCCAGCTAGGTTTTTCCTCCAAGGACTAAGAAATCCAAAAACGCCAGGCATCGAAGCCTTAATGTTCCCACCCTGCCATGGAAATCCCTGGGGGACTCACGTGATACCGATCTCTTTTAGGTCGCTCTCTGTGAGAGTCAGGAAGATGCGGAGGTCCACGTCTTGCTCTTCAAACACCTGCAGATACTTCAGGCAGCCAATCTGTTCTAGGAGGGTGGCAAGATCCTGCAGTCCAGGCAGAGGAAAACAAAGAGGGACGAGTCGAGGACGGCTGGCCATCCGAACCAAGAAAAAGCCTCCAACAGACAGCGTTTGACACCTAACTGCTCCATTCACATGAACCAGCAGTCCCTGTCCGGCTCCTATCAGCAATGAGATTTAGAAAACGGAGCTGCTCCTGTCCAAAGAAAGCATTGGACTAAAACGGGGAAGTACCGAGTTCAAATCTGTGCTCATCCATGAAGCTTGCTAGGCAATACTGGACCCATCGCACGTAATCTAACCTGCAGTGAGGACAAATGGCGAGGAGGTGGGACCGTGTCAGCTCTACTAAACTTCGTAACAAAATATAACCAAAGCCCGTTGAGGAGGATCGCTTTGGGTCCTGTAGCGTCTAGTCAGAGAGGTGCGGAAGGAATGCTCACAGCCAAATGGAGGCATGACCGGGGGAAGAATGTCACGGCATGTCTTCATAAGGGACACATGTGGGACTACACATCTACAGTTACCAGGGCTCATGGAAGAGCCACCGTTGCTCACTAGACAGGACGGCCTCTCCCTCTGAATCTCTTTACCTGACTCCTGACAATTCAGCACACCCTGGCTCTGAAACATAGAGAGCTTCTACCTTAAAACTGGCTCTCTAACCCCCAGCCTAGAATGTTTCTGCAGCTTCCTCAACCCTGGTTACCTGAGGACTGGCGTCAGGCGGCGTCTCCGGATTAGAGGGGCTGCAGGGCTGGCCCAACGTCCGGGATCTGCAAGACCAGTAACTGTCACTGTTGCTATAACGATTCTTTGCCTTCCCGTAGCCTTTGGCATGCTTTCGGCTAGGGAACTTAGAGGTGCTATCTGAATCCTGCAAATAAACAAACCAGACATATATATTTAACAATAGGAAAAAGAATGGGCCACAAGAACAATTGCAGGGTTTCAAGGGAAAAACAAGAACATCATGATCCTTTCGCTGAGCATAGGAAGTGTCCCGCTTGGGTCAACCTTCTAGCGTAAGAATGAGTATGTCATGTCTAAGCAAAGGGCATACAGGAAAAGTATGTGCAGAATGCTGAATAGACTATAAAGATTTCCCCACTATCAAACGTTTGCTTGCTACCTGCAGTTTGCTTGCAGCCAGCGGCTAAATTGTGAACTTCAAATGTAGGTTTTGCTTCAGGGTCAGGATCACGGCCCGTTTCTCGTTCCCAACTGTGCCAGCACAACGGGCGCGATGCCACCCGCAGACGGCCACTAGCTAAAGAGCTCCTGCTTCAGTTTCAGATGGTGTGCGGATTTTATCATGCATCACACACAACCTGAATCGTAGCTGAGCTCTTTCATTAGCAGCCATCTGCCACCGCTGGCGACATCATGTCCACCGTGCCAAAGCAGCTATGGAACAGGAGAGTGGACAATGAAGGGCGCAAGCCAGGATCAAAAGGAACTGCATAACCGGTAACCTTTTCAACATATATATGGTTTTCTAATAAATAAGCAGGTTGGGGCCAGGGTGGTAGCTAAAGGTGTGAGATGGAAAGGGCACCGTTCACCTGGGCTGTAAACTCTCCAAGAAGGCAGCTCCCTCTCCTCACAGCCTAACTGGCTTAACAATAATAATGACCAAACATTACAGGCTGTACAGTGGTGCCTCGCTTAACAGGCGCTCCGTTTAGCGATGAAACCGCATAGCGACAAACTTTTTGCAATCGCAAAAGTGATCGCATTTTGATGTTTCCTATGCGTTTTTTTCGCTTTGCTGTGATGATCGGTTTCCTGTTTCACTTACCGATCATCGGAAAGCAATGATTTTTTAACAGCTGATCGGCAGTTCCAAAATGGCCACCGGGTAAAAAAATGGCCGCCTGCTGTGTTTAGGGACGGATTCCTCGCATAAGAGGCAGCGAAAATGGCCACCGTATGGAGGATCTTCGCTTTAAGGTGAGTTTTAAGCCCATAGGAATGCATTAAACAGGTTTTAATGTGTTTCTATGGGCTTTTTAAAATCACATAGCAACAAAATCACTTAGCCGCGATTTTTGCTGCACGGATTAACGTCGCTATGCGAGGCACCACTGTACTTCCAGTGCAATTGGGAGGCAAAAAACCCAGCCTGCGATTATTATTTCAGCCAATGGGGGAAATTTGTTTCGTCACTGTGGCCAGCTGCTTTGATCACCCAATGATTCTGATTTCAGAAAATATGGTCACCCAGTGTGTTTTTTTTCAACCCAAGGGAAAAAGAGTCAGATGTTCTTTTGATACATCCTTCAGGGAAGCAGCCTATTCTATAGAGAACCTGAGCTTGTCTATGACCCACTAGGCTGCTGTCACCACGCTCAGAATAAAAGTCTTGATTATTTATAGGCAAAATCCCCACTTCCCGGCAATCGGCGCAGGGGCAATGGCTAAGATTCCACCTACAGACCCCTTTCTCCATCTTATGATAAATCAACCTCATTGCTCTCCAGAGAGCCCTCGCTGCTGATCCCCACAGTTTTAGCCAAGCCTTCACTACTGCTGCTGCTGGTCCTGATGGTGGACAAATCATTGGCGAAGGAGGAGTTCTCTTCTGAAACACAAAGGAGTGATTGAAAGGGTAAGCTTCCATTCTCAGATCTCACAGAAGCTTAGTGATAAAAAAAATAAGCAATCAGCATTTTCTTAGTAGGACGCTTATTATGACTTATTCGACTACTTAATAATCATAATCCTTTTCAGGGATTTCCAGGTGGAGGGAATACTGAGAAGTGGTTGATCCTTCCCTTCTTCTGTGGTGCCCTGAGATTGTGCAGCTGGCCCAAGGCCACCCAGGCTGGCTCTTCTCCTAGGAGGAACCGTGGGGGAATCGAACTCCCAACCTCTCTGGCTCCACAGCCAGAGGCCTAAACCACTGAGCTGTCCTGCCAGCTTCTTTGACTTCATAAAGGTATAAACCACTTCAACAGAAAATGCTTTCATAAAAGGGGTAACTTCACATCTGCCTCTACTCTGACATCTTCTATTTGCATCTGGGCCTGAAATCCCTAAGCCGATACTCAGAACATTCAAAATGTCCCTTTTAGTTTAAAGAAAGTGAACAGGTAAGGTAGAAAAATAGTGGGAAAACCCTCACAAAGCATTCAAAACATCCGAGTGTGAGACACATTCCTTAGTACCACCAACGCCTTGATCTGTCTGAGTGAAAACAGCTGCAAATCCTTATTGTTTCTATTAAAGATATTACAAAAACCCATAGATGTTTTAAACTACTGGATGGCTCAATGGTTCAGACATCTTGCTGTTGAGGCCAGTGGTTGGGAGCTTAATTCCCCCCACTGTGACTTCTTAACAGGGCCGGACTTATTTATTCATTCATTCATTCAATTTATATTTAATTCCCCCCACTGTGCCTTCTTAACAGGGCTGGACTTATTCATTCATTCATTCAATTTATATACCATCCATCTAGCCAAAGGCCACTCTGGGCCGTTTACAACATTAAAAAAAAATCAAAATCAAATTATAATCATAAATCACAAAATGATATATCTATAAGGTAAAGGTTCCCCTTGACAATTTTTGTCCAGTCGTGTCCGACTCTGGGGGGCGGTGCTCATCCCCGTTTCCAAACCATAGAGCCAGCGTTTGTCCGCAGACAATATTCCATGGTCACATGGCCAGTGCGACTTAGACACGGAACGCTGTTACCTTCCCCCCGAGGTGGTCCCTATTGATCTACTTGCATTTGCATGCTTTCGAACCGCTAGGTTGGCGGGAGCTGGGACAAGCGACAGGAGCTCACTCCGTCGCGTGAATTCGATCTTATGACTGCTTGGTCTTCTGACCCTGCAGCACAGGCTTCTGCGGTTTAGCCCACAGCGCCACCACGTCCCCCTAATGATATATCTATAACTGGTACAAAAGAAATTTTAAAAATCCCATTAAAATACATATTACAAAGCAGTAAATAACAGCAAAACGTTTAAACTGGTAGGAATTCTATCGTATTACTCCCACCCTGGAGTTCAAATACTCCATCTTGAAATTCACCCTCTGTGGTGATCAAACAGGATCCCACCCAGGTTTGCAGTTCTTATGACGACGAGGTACCTCGGCTGCTATTGCTTTCCACGTCATGCTCGTTGATGGGAGAGGTGACGTCTCGATAACGGAGGTCTCCTTCAGAGCCGCTTCCATCGTCGTTAAAGGTGACATAACCCTCTGGGGGGACCTGCTCTGTGTGGAAAAGGGGGAAGGGCAGTGAAACGAGAGAAACAGGGTGTGTATGTGACAGGATGAATGGGACACCTTTGTTTCATTGTTTGCTCTTACACAAACACTGCCCCAAAGAGTAAAGCTAAAGGTAAACAGGCTTGGGATAAATTAAGGGAAGCACTTAAATAGGCTTCACTCTGCTTTCCCCGTTGCAAAGGGGTTCAGTAATGACACGACAGGAGATTTGGGAAATCTGCAAAACACGAAATCTCAGGCAAGAGGCAGACGCAGCCGACATCCCAGAAAGAAGCTTCAGGGCACTCCTCTACTGTGCAAGAGGAAACGAAACGGGAACTCACCACAGCGCGATGGGTTTTTCCCTCCAATCTTGACTCCCGTGATCTTGGCCAAAGCATGGGGCCCTTCATGGATGCTGGGGCCTTTGGACCTGCGAGCCGGCCTCTGCCTCTGAGGAGCTGCGTAGGACTCGTCTGACGAGCTCAAATCTTCGTATTTTCCTGCACGTCAGAATGCAGTCCGTCAATTCTGATGTTTCCACCATGACAAAGAGTCTTTTCCTCATCCCCCCCCCCGCCCTGTAAATGTTCATACCATTCTTAGCCGTGATTATATCTCGCACACTCTGTTATCATAGCCATGCTTGGGAAAGTTAGCTCTTTCCATGTGCATACCAGATTATTATATCTTCTCTTTCTTGCTAAACAGTCATTAAGCCCAATTAGTAAATACAAGATGTGCTGGTATTTTAAGGGCCACTTAGCTTACGCTTTAAAAGGTAGGTACAAAACATGTGTCCAGGTCACAAGAGAATTAATGTACAGCACAGTGAAAGGATGCAAGTCAGAAACAACTGATCCAGAAAAAAAAACCTTGGATTTCGCTAAAGGGAAGTCAAGGACCCTTTAATCCAAGAGTCAGGGCGTTTCCGCATCCGTATCCCTGGGGATAAAGAAGATGCCACGGAGGTCCATTCCCTCCTCCTCCCAGAACTGGCCAGTCCACTCGCCAATGGGTGTCCAGCACTCAGTTCCATTGTCATTGTTGCACCAATCATGGAAGGCACCTAACCGGCTCCTCCCCGCCTCCCTGAGCAGGTAACCACTCATCAGCTAAGTGGTGGAGACTCCTCATCCCGCCTTTGTGCTGGAGTGGTTGGCTGCATGGAGAGGCGGAGAAGAGCCAGCGGGACTCCTTCGTCGATTGGCACAATGACAACGATGGAGCCGAGTGTGGTGCGTGGAACGGTGAGCGGACTGGCCGGTTCTGGGGGGGGGGACATGGGCCTCCGTAGCACCTCTGGGGATGGGTATTCGCATCCCCACAAATGCAAACACAAACCGCCCATCTCTAATTGGGAACACATCGTCTCAATCACCTGGGCCCCGGCAGAGGACTTTGGGCACAGGAGCTGCATGCAGGTCTATCAGCCCCACAATCTTCATGTGTCCGTACGTCATGGCCAGCATCCGTGCTGTGGCCCCACTGTTGTCCCGCACATCCACTCTCACGCCCTGTTGAGAGACAGCACACATTGGTCAACCTTCCCAGTGGGAGAGCAATAACCACCTCTGAACTGCAGAGCTGGGAGGGACCCTCTGGATCGCGGAGTCCAACCCCCATCAAGGAGGCCCGGCGGGGAATTGAACTCCCAACCTATGGCTCCTGAGCCAGATGCCTCAACCACCGAGCTACCCGGCGGGACAGCAGCTTTAAAGAGACTCAGACGGCTTTGTGGTACGAGAGGATCCTAGGCATGGATCGTTCCCCACAGGGAACCTGCAGGATCTAACTAACATATCTGTGACCCTAGCAAGGCTTGGTGGAGCCCTTCTCTAAAGGTTCACTCAAACCTAAAACATAGTTACAAATCTTTGCTCCCTTCAACAAAACTGGGGTTTGGGGCGCTGGACCGCCATGAAGTTCAAAATCCATGCATAGCTCTTGTGCCCCCACAAGGTTGATTAACACTTAGACACACACACACACACATGCAGAACAGTTCTGTGTATTGGGATTCTCTTTTATAATGTTGACAATCTTTCCCATACAGTACTGTGTGTAATGAGTCTTAAAGGTCCTTCTGACCGCCCTGATCTAGAGACTGAACTAAAGATGTTGTGTTTGGGTGCAAGAAGACCATGTTGATGCCTTCAGCATTGAACCTGTGGGGTTCTGGGTGGCCAGGGGCAGAGAATTTATTCAATACTGTATTTATTGAATTATTATTTATTTACCGCATTTTTTGCTCCATAAGACACACCTTTACATAAGACGCACCACTTTTTTAGGAGAAGAAAACAGGGAAATATAATCTGTTTTCTTCGCTCCATAAGACGCACAGACTTTCCAACCCCAAGTTCTAGGTGGCCAAGGGCAGAGAATTTATTCAATATTTATTTATTGAATTATTATTTATTTATTTGTTTTAAAAAAAAAACACCTATGCATAATTCCAATAAAAAGAAGCACTGCATCCATAGCCCAAAAGAAAAATTCTCCTGTGCTGGGTTCTCGCCGGCCTGGAGCAGAACCTTTCTAACTGTGCTTATGGATAATGAAGACATGGTTTCTATCTTGTATAGCTGAAGAGAATGGAGCTGCAGCCATTATGAGAATGCACGCATAAGGTTTCATTCTATACCTTTCACAGTTTTCAAACTTCTCTGGGTATAAAAGATGAGTGACTATCTATATATATATATATAGAGAGAGAGAGAGAGAATGGAGCTGCAGCCATTATGAGAATGCACGCATAAGGTTTCATTCTATACCTTTCACAGTTTTCAAACTTCTCTGGGTATAAAAGATGAGTGACTATCTATATATATATATATAGAGAGAGAGAGAGAGAATGGAGCTGCAGCCATTATGAGAATGCACGCATAAGGTTTCATTCTATACCTTTCACAGTTTTCAAACTTCTCTGGGTATAAAAGATGACTGACTATCTATATATAGTATATATATTTGCATAAATCAAAGGCAGTGTATGGAAAACATAAAAGCTCCCTCTAATGACTTGTATCCCGGGGAGGCTATTCAAGGAAGAATACAATCAACATTGGTCGGAAATAGCATTAACTTCAGAGCGACAGTTCCAAGGACGTCCTGATAGGGCTAAAAGAAGCTCTATCTAGAGATGTAAAAATGTCTGGAAATTTTGAAGCCATATAAAACAAATTTGGGGAGAAAAAAAGGAAAAATTGGGGAGGAAATAAGTTCCGCCCCGCCCCCAAACCATTTTATATGGCTTCAAAATTTCTGGAAATTTTACATCTCTAGATCTATCTGAAGAAGAAAATCATGCATGAATGTATCATATGCCTGGAGTGACTGATCCAACATACTTACATTGTTTAATAAGATACAGACAGCATGGATGTAGAGAAGGGAAGGCTGATGTGGTGCTGAAGAAAAGAGCAGGGTGTGAGAAAGCTATCGCAGAAATAAAGGAAAGATCCACAGTGAGCATAAATTAAGTGGTCCAGAAAGATTTAGAGAATCGCTGTCAGATCAATGAAAGCGTAATACCATGACAGCCAGGGAAAGAAACATACAGCATTTCTAGACAATGCTTTCTGCAAAAAGCCATGTATAAAGGCAGAAAAAATGAGAGGAACCCAGTAGCATAGAGTAGGACCCCCATATCTGCGGGATCAGTATCTGCTGATTCACTTATCCACGGTATGAAAATATTGAAAGTATTAAAAGAAAAATCCTAGAAATCTACTGTATTTTTCTGTGTATAAGACTATACTTTTGTCTAAAATCTTTAGACTGAAAATCGAGGGTCATCTTATACACGGAAGTAAGCTGAGGAGAGAACAAAAACAAGTGGATGGGAAAGCAGGGATCAAAGCGATCCTGCAGCGCTTTGATCCCTTTCGCCCTACACTTGCTAAGCACCATTTATTTTTCTTAATTTTGGATTAAAAAAGTGGGGTGTGTGTGTCTTATACGCAGAAAAATATGGTATATATTTCGAAAGATGAAGTTACCAGAATTGGCCACTAGAGGAAGCCAGAGACCAGGCTATGTATAGCAGACGCTATTAAAATAGCACTCAATATAATGCACGTTTTTCAACCTATGCAGGTCCTACTATACAGATAAGATATGTTAGAAGAAAGACAGTACTGAAGGATTGGACACACAGATAGGCTCTTTGCTACTCCACCGTATGCCAGAAGTTGGGACAAAAAAAAACCCTTAGGAGTAAAACTGGGACAGTGTTGTTCCACCAATGGCACAGAAGCTCAGACTTCACAAGTCAGAATATACTCAAGTGGAAGCGCCCAACCTTTGGACTGCCGGAGAAATCAACACCCAACTTACATGGTTGAGAAGATACTGGACAACGATCTCGTGGCCAGAAGCGGCTGCTTCCATCAAAGGGGTGTATCCGCAAAGGGGCTCCCTGGACAACAGAAAGACACAGCCCACGGAAGGCTAGGGTCAAGAGACACGCCATTAACCATGCAAATAGGGGAACGCTGCCACACACAGCCCCAAAATAGAGCAAGAGGAAATGATCAGAGCAAGCAACAGTAGAAGGACGCCTTGGTCTTTATATTGTGTTCCAAGAAGGACACAAGAACCTGCTGCACATGGGGTAAAATCCTCCCTCGATTTATCCTACTACTGCTCATTCCGGATGAGCAGCTCCTCTTCACAATCTCGGGGTTGGTGTCCCCTATCTGGCTATCCAAGACTCTTCTAACTGAAGAGGTGACTGTGGCCTTATTCGCTCCCAGCTAAAATCACGGGTGGGCAATGGTAGCCTTCTTTGTGTTTTTCAACCTACTAGCTTCAGCTAGTAAAGCAAGAGGAAACGATCAGAGCAAGCAACAGTAGAAGGATGCCTTGGTCTTTATATCGTGTTCCAAGGACACAAGAACCTGCTGCGCACGGGATCAAATCCTCCCTCCATTTATCCTACTACTGCTCATTCCTGATGAGCAGCTCCTCTTCACAAACTCAGGGTTGGCGTCCCCTATCCGGCTATCCCAGACTCTTTTAACTGAAGGGGTTACTGTGGCCTTATTCAGCTAAAATCACGGGTGGGCAATGGTAGCCTTCAACTTAATAGCTCCAGCCACCATAGCTTATGGTGGAGGATTATGGGCTAATGTTGGCTTCTCTAAGGCAAAACAAATGAACCAAGGAGCTTCTGCAGACAAGGGAGCCTCTGTTATGACTTCCAGTTCCTTCCCTCCTGTTGTGTCAGTTTGACCCTAAACAATTTCCAACACATCTTGAATTATATACAGTAGGAACACACGCACACCATATCTGCGGGAGCAGTATCTGCATTATCACTTAGCCAAAGTCTGAAATGACTAAAAATATTAAAAGAAAAAAACCCAGAAGAAATGTATTCCCAAAATGTAACTGAGAACTGGCCACTAAAAGGAGGTGGAGACAAAGCTATGTCTATGGTTCAATTTTAACTTAATAGCTCCAGCCACCATAGCTTATGGTGGAGGATTATGGGCTAATGTTGGCTTCTCTAAGGCAAAACAAATGAACCAAGGAGCTTCTGCAGACAAGGGAGCCTCTGTTATGACTTCCAGTTCCTTCCCTCCTGTTGTGTCAGTTTGACCCTAAACAATTTCCAACACATCTTGAATTATATACAGTAGGAACACACGCACACCATATCTGCGGGAACACACACACACCGTATCTGCGGGATCAGTATCCACATTATCACTTAGCCAAAGCATTAAAAATGTTAAAAGAAAAAACCCAGAAGAAACATACGTATTCCCACAATGTAATTATGAGAACTGGCCACTAGAAGGAGGTGGAGACAAAGCTATGTCTATGGACAAGGGAGCCTCTGTTATGACTTCCAGTTCCTTCCCTCCTGTTGTGTCAGTTTGACCCTAAACAATTTCCAACACATCTTGAATTATATACAGTAGGAACACACACACACACACACCGTATCTGCGGGATCAGTATCCACATTATCACTTAGCCAAAGCATTAAAAATGTTAAAAGAAAAAACCCAGAAGAAACATACGTATTCCCACAATGTAATTATGAGAACTGGCCACTAGAAGGAGGTGGAGACAAAGCTATGTCTATGGTTCAATTTTGTCCACCATTTTCTACATCTGTGGGAGGAGGGCTTAGAACCAACTCCCCGAATCTTATATGGCACTCATACCCTAGACTGGTTACTTCTTATTTAGATTCAAGTATGCAGAAATGTTACCTAGCTGATGGCCAGCACTGGTGCAGTGAAAAAGAGCTGTCCAACCATGGATATCCTTCATCTCCAGCTCAGCCCCTCGCTGCAGAGAAAGAGAGTGTCTGTTATACCCTTTCTGTGCCCAAAGCGCTTCAGAGTGTGACTATTTCAGGACAAGAAAGAACACATGATGACACATGGAGGGCCATGAGATCTCAGTCTGCATGCAGCTGCTCGATCTGTTTCGATCCTGCTCAAGACTTTAAATTTCAACGCCTCTGTCTGTATGCAGAAGATATTTCTCTGCATTTCCACTGCCCTTGTGGAAAAACTGTTGACCTAGCGGGCAATGTCCAAACTGGTTCGGCCACTAGTGTCCTTGCCACATTGATGTGTAAACAGACAGGCTTACTTGGAGAGAACTGCCTAGTATTGCTTGATGTGAAAACGTTCTCAAGATGACCTTGCATCAAGGAGAAGGATCTTACACTCCTCATGGGGAAAGCATTTCCACGGTCATCTGCCTCTGCCCTTGAAAAACACCAAGAGCAAATCTGCACTATTTGGTAACTGCTTAAATGTCGTGTAATCTGAAATTTCAAATCCAAATGCCAGCGCAAGTGCACATACCGATTTTTAAAATGTGCAGCAAATATTTAAAAAAGAAAAACAAAGCTTCCACAAGCTAACTAGCTTAAAAGGAAAGAGAATAAACTTGGTTGGAAGGGGGAAAAAATCCTCTAAAAGCAAACACACTGAGAAACTGTTCCAGATTCTTAGTGGCGCTACTGAGAAGGTCCTGGTTTCAAAGCCGCCTGTTGAATCTCTCAAGGATACAGAGCAGGGCCTCCAGGACTGTCCTTGTGATGAAAAGGTTGCATATACATTAGGAACCCCATATCCAGTTCCAAGCCCCCCCCCATGCTAAAAAACACGGATTACAGGGCAAACTCTATACATAGCATGGTTTCTAGCTCCCTCTTGTGGCCAGATCTGGTGACTTCATCTTTAGCAACATACTGTATATAGAGAGAGGATTTTTCTTTTTAGTATTTTGATCCGTTTTTTGACCGTAGAAAAGTGAATCAGGGCATACCAATCACTCAAATAAGGAGGTCCTAAGGTAATAGAGGCTGCTGGAGGTAGGGCAGAGCAGGGGAAAATTCTGATCAGCTTTTCACCGGCACTTCACTCCTGTTAGCTTCGATGACACGGTCCAAGAGGAGAAGGGGACGACAGAGGACGAGACGGTTGGACAGTGTCACTGAAGTGACCAAGATGAATATGACCCAACTCTGGGAGGCAGTGAAAGACAGGACAGCCTGGTGTGCTCTGGTCCATGGGGTCACGAAGAGTCGGAGATGACTTAACGATGAAACAACAATAACATTTTCAACTACTGTATAAGTGAATCAGCAGGTACTGATCCTGCAGATAGGGGTTTTCTACTGTTTACTCACCTGAAGGAGGAAGGAGGCCACACTCTCATTGCCACAGCTGGCAGCCAGCATAAGTGGAGTCTGCCCTTCAGGCGTTGGCAAATTCACATTCGCACCAGCCTCTAGTAGCATATGCACGATGGTATCATGGCCAATATAGGAAGCATACATTAATGGGGTCCAGCCACCACAGTTCCGCTGATTCAGGTCTGTTTCCCCACTGAAAGGCATAAGATAAATTAGATTTCCATGCTCAGCGCACCAAAGGTTTATGATTCGTGAACTTCAAACACTACAGCCTAACCTGTTTTGTGTTTCTTAATCTAGAATAGGTAACTCTTCTAGAAATCTGGACAACTTCTTAACAGTAACAGTTTTTGTCATTCCACCTATTAGCAAATAAAAAGACTGATGATGACCAAACTGTCCAAGCACTTCTGACTCTTTCATTCAACACTATTTAGCGAATTGTAGTTCCTAGAATTCTAGCCTCAATTCATGTTTGCACATGAAAGATCCCAGAAGCCTTGGTGAAACACTGCATAAGTTTTGGTGAAAAATTAAACATCAGTGAGGTTCTGTCTGCATTTTTGGGTGCCCAACCAAGCAGGCAACACCTAGGAGTGTAACCAGGGCCTTGTTAAGAATGCAATGTTTCTTACACAAGTATAAACTGGCAATAAGATTCTGGCCATCATATTTCACAGCGTGATTTATATTGCATTTACTTAACTAAGGCATGGACCAAATTTGCAGGAACATGGCACTGGAACATATAAGGCACAATATTTTGGAGTGCTTGCTTGTATAAAAAAATTCTAGAGGGGTGTGTGGCCACATTAATCATTTAGAAGACAAAAAAACCAAGAGAGACTGCTGGCAATTTAAAGACTAACAAGATACATCTGATTATATAACAATAAAAATAATCTTAGAACTGCAAAGCTGGAAAGGATCTGCTGGATCACTTAGTCCAGCCCCTATCAAGGAGACACAGTGGGGGACTGAATGCCCAACTTCTAGCTCTTCAGCCAGGGATCTAAACCACTTAATTATCCGGCTTGAATGCTGCAATCCAGAAAAGCTTGTGCCACCCCTAGATATTTTTCAGACTACAACTCCCAGAATCCTGGCCAGCACAGCTAGTGGTGAAGGGTTCTGAGAGTTTTAGCCCAAGAACATCTGGGACCCAAGGTGGGAACCACTGCCTAAAAGTATCAGAAGGCTTTGCATTATCTGGTGCCATGTTAAGAACCTTCTCACAAGAAAAGAACTAGCATTTTAGACTAGCTTGCTCTCTGCTCCGTCACCTTTCTACTGGAGAACAGGCTTTTTGCTTGTCAGGGTAAGGAGGAGCATTTATAAAGTTCAGTTTCCCACCTTTGTAGTCTAAATCTGTGCAGTCCGGTATAATGCCTAGCGAATCTACCATACAGTTCTGATGCAGGCACATCTGTATACTCTACACTCCATCACTAACCAGCAAACTGAATAGCTGCCAACATGAGCAAGATAGATTTTTTTTTTTAAAAAAAGCCGTTCTTGCTTCCTCTGAAGACATCTGTTCCTTACCATAGAATATCGTCCTTCACCACCTCATACTGCCCTATAGAGGCTGCGGTGTGAAGGTCCAGAGGGATGTCTAACTCCTGGCTACAGACTTTCTGACCCATTCCATGCCACATGGACAGGCTGCGACTCAGCAGTTCCGACTCACTGGCTTCGTCACTCAGCTCCGACATCGCGTCCTGGTGGGTAAAAACAAACAAACAAGTGCAGTAACAAAATACACAAGGAACACCAAAACATATTCAATGCAGTCAGGGACAACAATCCATTAAAAAAAAAAACCCACTAAAAAAACACAAGGAACACCAAAACCTATTCAATGCAGTCAGGGACAACAATCAATTTAAAAAAAACCCCACTCAGGCAGCCAGTCACTCAGGGAAAGTTTGCCTGAAGAGCAAGGTCTTTGCTCGCTTGCAGGAGGAGATCCAAGATGGGGGCCAGACTGGTCTCCAGTGGGAGGGAGTTCCGGAGTCTCTGGGAGCAGCCACAGAGAAGGCCCTTCTACCAAGTGGGCCTGTGAGGGTGGCGGGGCCCGAGAGCAAGACCTCCCTTCACAATCTGAACACTCAAGCAGGCGCTAACTTTACCTTGATATGTGGAAATCACCAAGTAACATTTCTTCCTTGTACGTACATGGGTTATGTAAAGAAACATTGCCATCGGCTCTCTTCACAGACATGTCGCATTACAATCACCAGTGACACGGAGAGGCTAGCTTTCTACCTACAGGGACGTCCGGCTGCTTTTTCCATGGAGCACTTTTGTTGATGGATGCCTTCAGCTGAAGTCGTACAAACAAGTCCCAGAATCCCCAGTCAGCTTTCCCCCCCCCCGTAGCTGGGGATCCTGGGAGGTGTAGTCCAACAAGCAGCAGGAGTCACCCAAAACTAGAGCTGGAAAAACCCCTCCCGCCTTGGTTGGACTACAACTCCCAGAATCCCCAGTCAGCTTTCTTCCCATAGCTAGGGATTCTGGGAGGTGTAGTCCAACAAGCAGCAGGAGTCACCCAAAACTAGAGCTGGAAAAACCCCTCCCGCCTTGGTTGGACTACAACTCCCAGAATCCGCAGTCAGCTTTATTTTCCTCGCAGCTGGGGATTCTGGGAGGTGTAGTCCAACAAGCAGCAGGAGTCACCCAAAACTAGAGCTGGAAAAACCCCTCCCGCCTTGGTTGGACTACAACTCCCAGAATCCCCAGTCAGCTTTCCCCCCCGTAGCTGGGAATTCTGGGAGGTGTAGTCCAACAAGCAGCAGGCGTCACCCAAAACTAGAGCTGGAAAAACCCCTCCCGCCTTGGTTGGACTACAACTCCCAGAATCCCCAGTCAGCTTTTTCCCCGTAGCTGGGGATTCTGGGAGGTGTAGTCCGCCCAAGGCCAGGCTCCAGAGCTCCAATCGCGTCGCAAGCGTCCTCCGCCCACCCCACCCCACCCCCGAAGGGCGGGGATTTCTACCTCGCCTCATCCGAGGCCCAGAAAACTCAAGGCCCGGCTGGGCGGGCTTACCTGGGAAGGAACTCTCTTCGTGGAACTCGGTGGGCACCACCGTCGGCCAATCTCCCCCCCGTGGGACCGACACGGCTTCTACTTCCGAAGCCACCGCACAAACCTCCCCGCCGGCCCCTTTCTCTTTCCCCTCAGGACCCCCGCGGCCGATCCGCCGGAAGTGCTCGCCCACAGAGCCCAACGCCGAATGGCAAGAGCACCGGAAACTCCCCTTCTCCCCGCCCTCCCTCGCGCGCGCTCTCCGACCACGTGACACCCTCCTGGCCTTTTAAACCCTTTTCTCGTTGCGCGGCATCCTCCTCGCGTTCCTCAGCCAGCCAATGAGCAAGCCCAAATTGACCCCGCCTCCCGAGCAATAAGCCAATGAGCTTCTCCTAAGGTCTCGGCAGTGTGAGGAGGATGCGAAGAAATTTTAAAAGAAGAAAAAATTACAGTAGAGGCGTGAGGTTGATATCACTCCTTTTTAACTCTTTTAAATGCTTTCACGTATTCTTCATGGTTTAATTTTATTTTTCCGAATCGCTCCGAAGTAAGTGAGGTAAATTAGCTGCCTAATTAGAATTTATCGCCTGTCAGGACTTCCAGAGATGGGCGGGCAGAAGAAGCCGGCGAAGGACCAGTGAATGGAGACCCCTTTGGAAACGAGGGGCGCGGGGGAGGGGGTGAGAGACTGGGGGGGGCGGGGCCTCCGCGGAGGAGGCGCCGGGAGGCCATTGGCGTCCCGTTGGCATGGCAACGCGGAGGGCGCGGAACCTCGCTGGGGAGGGCGTGGCCAAATGATGCACGGTTGGCATGGTGACCGGCTCCGCCCCTTTCGCATCTCTCTGTGTCTCTCTCTCTCTCTCATGCTCGATGTAATTAAAAGCTTTATTAAAATTATATCGTTGAAAAGCCAATTATTTTCATGTTGCGTACATGCACTGTTTTAAAGATGCCATTTTTTTAAAGAGTATATATTTTAATTGTATTTAAGTATATATTTTAATTGTATTTAAGTATATATTTTAATTGTATTGCCTGATGGCAATTTTTAAGAGTATATATTCTAATTGTTTTTTAAATTGTTGTAAGCCGCCCGAAGACCTTTGGGTAGCGTGGGCAGCATATAAGTTAAATAAATAAAATATAAATAATGGAACTCTATTGATCGATCTAGTGTCTTGTATACAGACTATATATAAATTATACAGTGTACTATGTATGTGTAAGCATATGTATTGTGTGTGCGCACACATAGTATGTGTGTGAGTGTGTGCTCAGTATGTAAATTATGTCTATGAATTGTGTGTTTCTATGTATCTGTATATAGAGTCACGTGTATATACGTTTATATATACTTATTGTATGTATAGATATAGATCTGTAGACACACACATGCACAAAAGCCCACTTCCTCAGACCTACAAGTGGATTTGCCCTGAAAAGATCACCTTAAAACAGAGACATTGGTCTTTGATTTTTTTTTTTACCTGAGAAGCAATGGGGCTCCTTCGAGGTAAGGGGTCCCCACCTCTCCCTGTGTGCCACACGTGGCGACCCCAACCTTTCTCCGAGTGACTCAGGACGTTGTACGTAAGATCCTCCCGGTCCATCAATGCAACCGGGCGGCATAGGCTAGGATGGCCTGAGGCACGGAGTCCGTTGTCTAAAGGTCAGCCCGTGAGACTATGGTTTCGGTGGGAATTAAGACAGGATGCTGTACTTTGGGTCCACACTACCTGAAGGAATGTACCTCCCCCTATGACCCTTCCAGGTCCGTAAGATCTGCAGAGGAGGCCCTTCTCTCCATCTCCCCCTATGAGCCTTCCAGGTCCTTAAGATCTGCAGAGGAGGCCCTTCTCTCCATCCCGTGGCCGGCGCAGGCATGTTGGACGCAGACACAAGAGAAAGCCGTCTCTGAGGCTGCTCCCATATTTGTAGCGTGTGTTTAAAATTTTCTCCCCATCACCTACCCGGACATTCCTGCTCTGTCTTTACTCTCTCCTCTCCTTTGTTTAGTGTCACGTCCCGAAGCTCAACTGGATAGATTCTACAATGGCATCAGAGGCTCAAACGAAGGAGAAAGAGGGTCCCGTTGACCCTCTGCTCCGCTTCCAATGGCATCGGAGGCTCAAAGGAAGGAGAAAGAGGGTCCCGTTGACCCTCTGACAGCACCTTTCCAATGGGGAACAATCCTGTCTGCAGTAAAAGATCAGATCCCCACATTGGACTCTGACACATCCGTGGTGAGTTTTGTTCCTCCCCTCTGTCTGTTCTCTCAGTCCTAAACAGTGCTTATAATTGGAAGTACATCTCCTACCAACCCAGAGAATTAAACAACAGGTATACCCATCCCCTTTCCGGAGCTATCTTTGGTCAAACACCCTCTATGAGCCAGGGAATCAGAGACTAACCATGTGATGTCTTCCAAGAAGGCAGCTTCCTGCTCAAGCGACCAAGAGTCAGATGCAGCCAGTTCAGCCACTGACAGTCACAACTGGGAGTAATGGGACTGGTGGCATGTTTAGTCTTGAGAAAAAAAAGAGGAGGGGAGATTGGATAGCATTTTTCAAATACTTGAAAAGTGGTCAAGTATATACAGAAGAGGGGCAGGATCTGCCCTCAGTCGTCCCAAACTGCAGGACACATAACAATGAGCTCAAGTTACTGGAAACCAGATTTACTGTAGGCTGAATATCAGGAAAAACTTCCTAACTGTTAGAGCGGTACGACAATGGAAACCGTGACCTCAGGGGGAGGTGGCGAGGGCTCCAACGCTGGAGGGTGACCTCAGGGGGAGGTGGCAAGGGCTCCAATGCTGGAGGCCTTCAAAAGAAAATTAGACAACCATCTGCCAGGTATATTTTAGCCAGGATTCCTGCACTGAAAAAGTGGGTTGGAATCACTGACCCTCTGGTTCCTTTCCAATTCAATTATTCTATGATTCTGTGAGTTGTAACCTCTCTTCCACCAAAGGGCATCATGTAGAGTTTTACTGATGTAGAGATTTGCAAAATATTCCCATAAAGCTTATTTTCCACTCGAAATGTCTTGTTTATACGCAACCAAATGGAGGACATGAGGTTAACTGGTGAGACCTGAAGCCTTAAATCTTGCTTAGGACAGGTGTTGGCAGCAGTTCAAACCAAAGCCAGACATTGTGGGTTTCCAGAAACCGAGACGGTATTAATCTTACTTAGTAGCATGATGGTGTTTATAATCTCCGTTGAAGGCTCCTTGCATGGTTCCCTCTTTAACACTCAATAAATAATATTCATCATAATAAATTGGTGTCCTCAAATCTGCAGCTTCATATCATGACCAACGAGGTCTCAAAACAGAAATAGAATGGTCAGTTTCATTTCCAAGGTTTGGAATAATTTTGTCCGCTTCCCTTTTTGTTTTAACCCTTTGATAGTCTGATGGTGATGAAGAGGAGGAGGACGAGCTTTTCATTTTCCAGCGAGATGAATCCAACCTCATTCCTGACTTGACAGAAGAACTGAAAGACTGTCCTCCAGAAGAATCAGACTTGCAGGTCATTGGTTTCACCCAATGCTACAGGGCTGGGTTTGGTTTTGACTTAGTATGGTTACACCTTCATTAGAACCAGCCCATGAGTACTGTGGTGCCCCGCATGACGACGATAATCCATCCCATTGAAATCGCTGTTTAGCAAAATCGTCGTCATGAATCCCGTTTAATATGTACCAATGGGGAAAATACCTCGTCATCCAGCAAAGATGGCCCATAGGGAAGCCATTTTCCGAGCGCCGATGCAGCTGTAAAAATGGTTGTCCTGCAAGGCATGGGTCCGGAAAACAGGGCAGCCATTTTGCGAAGCCACCGATCAGCTGTAAAAATTGTCGTCTTGCGAACAAACGGTTCGCAAAGCACGGATCAAATCTTTGTCAAGCGAAAATCCCCCATAGGAATGACTGTTTTGCAAATCACTATAGCGATTGCAAAAAGCCATCGTTATGCGGATTCATCATTTCACAGGGTTGTTGTCTTGCGAGGTACCACTGTAAATCTACACAGTAGTTACCACCAGATGAAATGGACGAGAGAAGGAACGCTATGTTGACGGTCCATTCCTGGAAAAGAGCGAAGACTATTTTTATAGCCCTTGATGGGTTTGTACAGAATATAGAGAGCTATCCTCCGCTTCTGCGGAATATCCCTCCCCCAGCTCTTTGCAATATCTAAACCATCCCTGGACCAACAGTCATCTTCTTGGTTTATCATCAGGAATGGGGACTTGAGTTGTGGGACTTGCTGTCAAGTTGTACTTAAGTCACACCAGCAACTCGACTCAGACTTGACTCACTTTTTTTTTCCAATGACTCAGACTCAAATCATGACTCAGAATCCACCCACCTCATTCCTTTTTTCTGGGGGGGGGAAGCTTGTTTTTAATAGGGACTCAGACTTGGGACTTGGTACCAAAGACTTGGACTTGACTTGGACCCAAAGATTTGCCAGCTTCACTGTTTCTAATACTCATCATTGGTGAAACCCTGATATACAATTATAATGCACCTCCATGTTCAAAATCAATAGGGACCCATTCTTTTTTGTTTACTAAAGACAGATCTCGTTAGAGAGGTGTTTGAGGGCATTGCCCTGCCATTTCACCCTTTTACTATTTTATGGACCATGCCGTAGCATCTTGCTATTTGTTTGAAAAGTTGTCAGATTTTAGTTAGTCAACCGCCCAGAACAGTGCATAACACTGGGGTGGTAAACAATGATAACAAACAAGCGAGCAAATTTGTTTTGAATGCTTGCTCTCCAAATACTCAGTATTCTTAGTGAAATGTGACTGTTTTTCCCCTCTGTGCTTTTAGAAGACATTTGCATTCATGAGACACTCGAGAGAGATCTGGAATGAAGATCAAGAAGGTCCAGATAACAAGGCCCCTTCTGTGTTTGTAGGCCAAGATGGCTTTGATCTTCCGACTGCAGAAAGGTCAAGCCAGCGAGCTATATCTCCCATAAATGGGAAGAAGCCTGGAGGAGGGATATTGGCAGTTCCTGCAGGAGAACAGGATGTTTTGAAAGACAACAATAGTCTTTTATCCCCAGATATGTCACCCTCTGTGGAAATGTCACCTTTTTCAGTACTAAACATGAGTGTGGAAGAAAGACGGCAACTGATAGAAACAAGAATCCTCTCCAAGGCAACTGTGGGACCTCCTCCAGAAGGCTCAGGTCATCCCAAACCCAAAAACCGTAACAACAATGCCGAAAGGAGAACGGAGAGAGGAAGTGAACTGGGAACTATCCCAGCAGAACACCCCCAAGAGTTGATGCTCGTAGCCTTCAAGGTATGCCCGTGGATTCCCTTCTTCTCTTTCTCCTCCATACGGCCGCCTCGGTAAGCGAGGAAACTGCTCAAAAATGCTACGGGCAGCCATTTTTTTCCTCTGGCGGCCATTTTGGAACCGCCGACAGCCATTTTTTCCTCTGGCAGCCATTTTGGAACCGCCGATCAGCTGTTGGGGAAACATCGCAATGCGAAGATCGGTAAGCGAAACGCTTACCGATCATCGCAGTGCAATGTTTACCCATTAAAAACATTGCAATGCGATCGCAAAAGCGATCGCAAAATCCGCATCGCTGTGCGAATTTGTCGTTAAACAAGGCGCTCGTTATGCGAGGCACCACTGTACATATAAATAGGTATTTCTGGCAGGGTTTTTCCAAAATATTTTTAGCCAGTGGATAAGTGAATCAGTGGATACTGATTATGGGGATGGGAGGGTCCTACTGTAAATAGACTAGCCCAGACCGAAGAACACAAAGGCAATTCGATGGCCAGTGCGAACGATGCAAAGGCCAGCTCCAAATTGATCAAACTTAGAAAAGTTCTGGTTTGGGGCTGTAACTTACCAAGCCTTCCCTTCCAGTTGCTATGTTGGCTGTGGGGGGATTCTGGGAACTGTAGTCCAATTGGACTTTTCCCCAGCTCCAGACGTGGGGATGGCCTGTCTCAGAGTTCAGGAATAGTAGTGGTACCTGCCTGACGTATTTCAGCGTCTTCAAAAGAACAACGGGCAGAGGAAACCCACTGCCGTCCTCCCTCTAGATAACAGCTAAAGCAGTCATGTAATTTAAGCACATCCGTTCTGCTTCTTTGAGAAAACAACCTCGTTTCTGGTACCAAATGCAGCTTCTTTTGTGCTGTCCTTTTCATCTCTCTCTCACACTCTCTCTCTGGGGACATGGCTTGCTTCAACCCGTAAAATGTTGCCCGGCCACGGTCAGCTCTCTAGCCTTATGTTACAAATTCAATCTGAGTGTCTGCCGAATGCCAAGAGCAAAGCCTGCCTCGTTAGAACCAGGGCTAATCAGGATTTCCTCACCCCCCTCCCCACTCCTTTGAGGTTTATTGGCCAGGAAATAAGGGGAGACGTGCACAACAGACAGAGGAGATTATCACAATGGAAAGCGCATTAGCTTTCATCATTGACACTGCTTTGGATCAGAATGAAAGGACTGAGTTTATATGTTTTTTTGTAACCAGCAGCAATGCTATTCATTGGCAATTGGCAGCTTAAGGTGTGTTTTTTTTGGAATGATGTTATAAATGCTTGTTTGGACTGCCCTCAAACTGTCATTTTAGAAGACATACCCATGGCTCTGATAGGGGAAAAAAAATCCATGCTGAGTCAGTATTCCAGTCGCTGTGTTGGTCGTGTTGTGTTTTTCTGTATATCTCCTGGTATCAGATATCTGAGAACATAAATGAAAACTTTTGAAGTATTCTAGTTTGGATAGACAAGGCTTTAGCCATTCTCCTTCTAACATATACAAATTATACCCACAGAAGAGTGCTATGGTAAGACAGCCGTTTATATATATAAAAAAGGAGACAAGGTTTGTATCCTTTCCAGATCATCCTTTGGAAAATAATCCAGAGTACTGCATGGATATGCTGGATCAATTCCGGTGGATCGGTTTTACAGCTCTTAATTTTTGAAAGACGAACGTGAGACTAGGTTTGAGAGAGAGAGAGAGAGAGAGAGACCCTTTCCAGATCAACCTTTGGAAAATAATCCAGAGTACTGCACAGATATGCTGGATCAATTCCGACGGATCGGTTTTACAGCTCTTAATTTTTAAAAGACGAACGTGAGATTAGGTTTGAGAGAGAGGGATGGATAGATATCGTTTTAATGATTTTATAAACCAGATCTCTCTGTGACGATAATAGAAATTGTCCACCTTGTGTTTAAAAATAATGTAATAAAAAAAGAGAGTTGAGCTATTTGAATCTAGCAGAAATTTGTTATCTGAACTGAACTGAGCTTTTACTCTTGGGCAACATGGAAAGGAAACAAATACAGTTAATTGATATTTAAATTTTTTTACACCTTTTCCTCTTGATCCTGGATGAACAAGACTAACCTGGCTTGCGTTACAGAGACCTGGTCGGCTGTCGCTGGGGAAATGAATCTTTGTCCACCTGGGTTTCTCTGTGCAGCAGTGGATGAGGGGCTGGAGCAGGAATCCTGGACTGATTAGTTCTTTGATCTCATCCAGCCAGGATCTCATGCTCTTAAGCTCTGAAGTCATGCCTGTTCAAACACAAAAGTGTTCTCTTTTCAGGATATTGAAAGATGGGATTTGGATAAGGTCCTACAGGATCTGGAGAAGCAGAGTGGTGATACGCATTGGGATTTAGAAGTGGCTTTTCCTTCAATCAACCATGGTAAGAAAAGAAGTCTAATTTTGATTTCCTAGAGATGTAACCACTGTACAGTACATTGATTTGCGGGAGAGGACCCAACATGGATTTCAGAAAGTATGCTTGAAAGAATAGGTTAAACGGGCATATAAATGTCCCAAGTCAACGGGTACTTTCACACTGGACATTTGAATGTATAAACATCAGATTCCTTCCAGACGCCTTTCTGAATCTGCTCCCTTTCACAGGTATTGGGTGGCAGCTCCCATCATCTTTCGTCAATATGAGTTTGGCTGGGAGGATTGAGGTGGTAGCCCCTCTGACCTGGAAGGTGTCCCTTTCAGGAAAGTTACATGACAGCAAACTCGCTCTGCTCATCTTTTGGAACTAGACCTCTTTCGTCAGCAAATGGTTTTCTCCTCTTTTGCACCTTCAGAAACCTGGAGGGCTGTGTCACACGCAAGTCTTATGAAAAAGCTGGAAGAGTTCTCCCTTCAACAATCCAGGGCATTTTTGTCGCAGCAGAAGAGATGTCTTGCTAAGCTCCCTGAATTTAGCCAGTGCCAAGGGGACGGGAAGTAAGTCACCTTCAGATTTTGTCTCCATGTAAACCTCACCTTGATGTGCACCCTGGTGTGGATGCTTACAATCAAGTCCAGAGCTTTGGAATGTTACTTCAAGGAGAGAGAGAGAAAAAAACTGCTGCTCCCTCATTACTCCAGTCTTTCCCTAAGGAATTTGGGGGTTTCTCATACAAAAAATTAACTTTTCCAAACTCTGCATAACGTTGTCTAGGAAACAGAAGACGCTTGTGCAGATTCACAGTTTTTTGTTGTTGTGTTAGGAAGGTGCAGTCCCATAGAGGAGGCATCCCCTCCTAGATTATTCTAGGATTGGGGTTAAGAACCCCAATGTTCTTGGACCGCAGCTCCCAAAAGCCTTCACCCCTGGCTGTGTTGGCCGGGGTTTCCAAGAGTAGTCACCCAAGAACATCTGGGGGGGCCAAGGTTGGGAGCCACTGATCAAAGCCATCAGGAGCATTCCATACCCTATAAAGCTGTTGCAGGTGATTCAGTACATAAACCTCAGGAGATCATCTTGTGTATGACGATGCTGTCTAATCCCTTTCCTAAAAGGTGTCCTGCAGTGGGATCTGCATCTGCCTTTCATTATTTTCCTCGCTCCTGAATGCTTCAGTGCTCTGTCACTGTCTTGGAACTCAGCCTTCGTAGCTCTGACACCAGCTGTGTTTTTGATCCAGTGCTGAGCCCCTGTGTCTGTTGCCTTGGGAACCTTTGCTTTGTGATCATCTGAGACCTTCTGTGTCATCCTTCTTCTCCTTGTCCTTGCACGGGGACCTTAACTGCAGCTTGCTAATTTTTAGGATACCTAAACTATAATGGTTGCAGTGTCAAGATTAATATTTGCAAAGAACTGGTAAAGCAACAAATTCATCTTAAAGATTAGTAGAAAGAAATATGGAGGTTAGCAATTAACAAGAAGTGAACATATGAAATGAAAAAGAGAGAGGAGGAATAGTAAAGTCTAACGATTTCAAAGATGTATGGAATTTGTAATTGGAATATGTCTTTTCAAAGGAGAAAGGCTATAGGCCAGCAGAAGAATCAATGTATTTTTGGAGAGGAATGGGGTGAAAGGGGATACAAATTGATATGTGTATTGTGTGCAGTTACTGTTGAGTTTGTATTTTAATTTAGCTTTGTTATTTGTTACTTTCCTTTTTGTAAAAATTTTTTAAAAAGAAAAGAAATACATGTTTCGTAATGGTACTGAGAGTTTGTATTGCTTCTCATCCTTCTTAAGGTTCTAGTGTTCACTTGTATTCCTTGCTTATTGCAAGTAATATTGGCTACATAGTGAAAGTGGTTTACATTTCCAGTGCTGTCATGCCTTTTCTGTACGAAACAGCATTGGGTGTGCCTTCTTTGCTAGTGCATAAAACAAATACCGTGGAAGTATCATACAAATAACTCCGGTGACAAAATCATGATCTTTGTGCCGTATTCTACAAAGGCAGATAACCTGCTGACATAGAGATTTATATTCTCAGGGGTGTTCCCATCCTGACGCCCCTGGGAAACCACCGAAGCCTGACTCCGATAGAACTGCAATGGGCTTCAGAGCCACCCACTGTCTATATGGACCTCAGAGAGACAACTTCTCAAAAGCCTGAGTCGGCCTGGAATGACAAGCAAAGGTATCCTTTGAGATATAAAAATCAAAATAAGGGGAAGGAGCTTCCTTTTATTGGGATGGATGGATGGATGGATGGATGGATGGATGGATGGATGGATGGATGGATGGATGGATGGATGGATGGATGGATGGATGGATGGATGGATGGAGAGAGG